ACAAATTTCATGCAGAGTCGACCTAGGGGAGGCGCAGGACCGGTTTAGATAATCGTCACTAGGTGTTGGCCGTGAGCGGGAATCGAACCCTGGTCATCCGGTTCGTAACGCTAACCGCTACACCACCGCTCCTCACAACCACTTTCTTCACACACAAGCACACAAATCCTTTACAAGGCCGTAAACACACGAGCTCACACAACCTCACAGTTCACGCATCCCCTCGCAGGCACACAGCAATCCACAGACATTTTTTTGCGCACCCACGCACGTACGCAGGTCCCCTTGGCAACGCTAATGGTGGTACAAGAGGGGTTTCCATGGCAACCCAGGCGACCATTATGTAAATCCTGTACTTGCCCTCGGGTGGCACTCCCCCCACTTGCGATGCGTCGGGGATATGTTTGACGCATCCAAAGGGACGGAGTGAATATCTGCAGACTCGAAGGCCGTTCATGGTGGCACGTCAAAAAAAGGAATGGAGGTGCAGTCGTGCGGCGGTTAGGTTAGCGCACTGCGTTGCACTGCAAACCTGGCTAGGCCACAGCAAACAGCTAACAATAGTGGCAAGTGAAATATTAACCTGTTTCGCCCCCCCCCACCCCGTATCTTACATGAACCCGCACTGACCAGCGTGGTGAAGTATGGTCAAACAACCGACAAGGCCATCGTGGAGTGGGGAAGCAGTCATGCAACCAGCAGAGGATTTACAGAGAGGCCGAAATGTAATTTATATTAAAAAGGAGTATGTAATTGCATACGATAATGGGTTAAAATTGAGACACAACCCATGAAACAAACAGCTCGTATTTTCACACCTAGGATTTTGAAGCCTATGTTATGATTCAGAATAGGTTTTTGGGTTCCTTCGCCTAGCCAAAAATTTATTTCGGAATCATCTCTTTTCTGGTACACAAATAGACTGTCTAGGTTTGTCCACGCGCGGTTTCATTTAATAATGAAAACAAAACTTTAAATTGACTCATCATATCGACTGAAGTACAGCGTTCACACCACAGCGTTTTCATTGAAGCATGCCTGGCAGTCGCTTAAAATTCAAATAAATATTTCTACAATGAACCTTAAAATGTATGCAGGACAGCCAAAGACATATATACGGGATGTGTGCATGTACAAAAGAAGAGCCCTGCTTATTTGCTGGATACCTCATCTGTTTATTCAAGTAAATGTCGCTGGAGGTAGCTGAAAGCTAGCGGTCAGAGAATTTCACCAGCACTGCGGAATCCTGGGTTCGAGCCCAGGGGCCACCTGAGTTATCTCGTGGGGCGACTTGCCGGTTCCTGCAAAAAACACCGTCGCAATGCGGAAGTTAGGTTTTCACTTTGTATGGTAAAAGAAAAAAGTATAATTGGAGAATTATACGGATATCATTTTTTGACGAAAAAAGTAATTTCAGTTTGACTGCCGCCATCTGATGAGCATATCTGTAGTGGGGATAAAATCTCCAACACATTCGTAAATAACAGCGCTTGGTCTGAAAAGGAAGAACTATTAAAACTATAAGCAGTAACATTTCAAGCAATGTGTTCTGAAGAAGGGCCATTGCCTGAAACGTCGCCTATTTGTATGTTTCCTTTTAAGTCCAACACGGCGTTACTGATGAATGCCTTTGAGGGGTTTTGTTGTTATTTGTGTTTGCGCACCACTGCCAACGGAGCGGCATTGCCAAAATAATATCTATAGTGGGCACGTTAAGTGTGGGTAAGAGGTCGTGGTCAAAGGAATTTCAGAAGCAGTTCTACGACCTCCCCTTCTGCAAGCCGTTCTCTAACTTGGCATGGTGCATTTGCCATGCAACTTTTCCGAATGAACGGTTTGCATCATCGCACGGCACCGATACCACAGTAGGAATCACATTCGGAAACGACAACTTCCTTTAGATACTGCCTGCAAACATTGTATGACACACCACTGTGGGTGCATATGTTAATGCGTGGTTACACATTGCGTTTTAGTCTAGTTGTCCAGGGTGCGATTCCCAGCTGCAAATAATGTCAGTGAGAAGTCATATTTCCACTTGTTTTGGGCTTCCCCTCAGTCATCTCGGCCTTAAATGAGTGCCGTTGGCAGTCACAGACAAACCCATTTTGTTTCAGCCTTAAGAGGAATGTGGAATTTACACCACTGGCTAATGGCTGTAAACTGGAGTGGAGCACCAATTCCTTCACGCTCATTTGAGTAAAGCAAAATATAAATGTAACTGTGAAACACATAAAACGTGATCTGGTTTCGTGCCTTTTGGACTCATCAGCATGCCATGGATGGTTGCCACTTTGTGTGCCTGCGTGTTACGTGCAAGAGCCAGCTGGAAAGGCATGAGGCCACTCTAAACATTCGGGGGGGGGAGGGTAAATTGACAATGATTCAGCACGGGTTGGCATTCATGCATTCCACACATTGCCGAGTTTTAAAAAAATGTATTAATAAAATGCATCAACGGCCTCCTCATAGGTAAAGCTCTTGAATCAGCCGTCTGTGTTGCGAGAGTAACCAGGTGCACGAGATCAAGACTCCTCGCTGCAACGGACGACCCGGAGTTCATCACGATGTCGCACATCCGACCGTCACGTGTCTCTCCTGTCCAATTCACCGCCAACACACCCGTCGGCGGTGTAACTTTCATTTCCTGTAGACCATCACAAATCGTATCGTATAGGGTAGAAGATATAACTTCTCAACCCGACCTATTGACACTTTGATACTTGCGTTGCCTTGGCGCTGTTCGCCTTGTGGCATTCTCTGGTCTAACACTTGTGAGGCAAGGCCAGAAAGATGGCCGTCTCTGGTGTTGGCCAATCAAGTTCAAGTTCAAGGCTCTTGAATTGGGTGCAACCGCAACAAACAAAAAACAAAAACATGAACAAGAAAACATCTTAAAGGGAATATGTGACTAAGTGCAAACAGAAAATCCAAGAAAAGACAGCAAAATATTGCAGAAAAAACACCGTACACCAACGCTGTGTGCAAAAATCCCAGTGGTATGCAAGTCAAACAACAACAACAACCACAAGACAACTTAGATTAAGGCCATCGGTCTTACTCCGTACTACAACAAACAAACATGGCCAAACCAGTAAACTTTTCGAAATCACCAAAATAAAGCAATGAAACAGTGATCATAGGAACTGTGACGGAATTTTCACAATGAATAACAAACAACATGTACTACCAAAACCCTGCAGCCAATCATAGGGAGTCTTCGGTTTCAAAGACAATGCGTTTATTATCAGGGAGCACGTTTGCTGGCATGTTTTGGCATAGGTACGTGCGTTGAATGCAGACTTGATGACTTTTGCAATAGGTGTCCATTTGGATGTTTGAACATCTTAGCATCTGTTTTATTGCCATAAAGCGTAAACGCTATTCTTGTTGTTTTCATCGTTTCTCTCGACACCACGCAGCATCGAAGGACAGTGGCCGTGAACGCGCTGCGAATGAATTTCCATAAATTCAGCAAAAAAGTGTTATCTCGCCTTGCCATGTGGTGGATTTATATGATTATATACACTTCTGTATTTATAAGTTACAGAATAATGTACATATACATTACGCGTATGCCTACACGAAATGTAATGAATTGTGTGTTTCAGTGTGTGTGTGTAAAATATAATGCAGCATGTCTCCCAAGAGATGTGCAGCATTCCCTGGACACATGCAACGTTGGCATGTGATCAGAACCGTTGGTCTCACGTTAGCCCAACGTTCCATGTTTTATAATCCTTTGAGCCAAATGTGCGTGAGGGAAACGTGTACAAGAAAGGTCACTTGTCTTTTCTGTGAGTTGAGCCTGTCAATCACGTTTTTTTTCTCTTCGGCAATTTTCCACGAGAGTTTGGTAAAGCTTCACTGTGGTCGAAAGGAACCAGGGACCTATGGTATTGACGATGACCTCTTTATGACCTTTGACCTAAGTATAAAAACGCAAGCAATACATTTACATCACGATGACCGAAACACGTGTCCAAGGCTAAACGTACGGCAGTCTTAGAAAAGTTCGCTTTAGACATTTTATTGAGTCGCGAGTTGAGAATACTTTCGTAAAATGGACGTAAAAAAATGGGGAATATGCGAGTAAAGATACGCCGGTGGACTTGGGTTGAAGCGACACGGGTCGTCTTCGAGTTAAAGGAAAGGAATACGCTGTCAGCGGCTGTGATAATGCCAGGTGCGTTTGTCTTTGTGCGTTTGTACTGCAATCAGCTCCATTTGTTTAAATTCATTTAGCGCTATTGTTGTGGCGGGTCCCCATCAGAGGAATGTGTAATTTCCACCACTTCCTTAGGAGCCATCAACAAAGCTGAGCACCTTGCCGAGTTCAGTTTTAAATGTCACCACCGTGCTAAGCACAACGGACCCTTCTCTAATGCGCGCACACCCTCTGGGTGAACAATTAACACCGTACACCACCAAGAACGCATTTTTTTTTCCAAAATGAAAATGTTCTCCACAGCACCTGTGGCTGCTGGCACTGTAAACATTTAAATGCACCTCCCAACGGCCCAACCAATCGCCATGGCCTTCCACAACCACAATGTAATCACTCCATGCCATGCTTCCTCATTGTACAGAGAGTGACCCTCCGCTATTGAGCCGGACACCTAGCATTTGCATCAAACCACTCACCCTGTTACTTAAAAGCCTGAGCGTTGTATTACTTTTACTGAAAAAGAAATACTGTATTCTAATATTATAATAAATAATAATCATTGCCAAAACTAAAAAAAAAGTACAAAAATTTGCAAAATGTGAAACGCTAGCTGCAGGATATGGGTGGTTAATTGTTAATTTCGGCTGCGCACTTGTTTGCAAAACTGGGAAGTCATGGAACGCGCTGGAATCAGCATTTGTTTTTGCAATGAAATGTTTTGGTATTAATTTTTTACTTTTTTATTTTTTACTCCCAAAGTCTCAATTTGCCACGGTCGCGAGATGCAGCCTTTCACGCGCGGGCCCTGCGCTCCGTTCCGAATTCTGCGCAGTTCCTCCGAAACCGGCCGCGTTCCAGAGGTCGTCGCCGCCACCACCGGACGATCCCCCGCCAAGGGTCATCCCCCCTCCGCCCAACCGACCTCTGCCCCCTGACCCCAGGCAAAGGATGGAGTCGCAGTCGAAGGAGAGCTCCACCGTCATGCAGCTGATCAACAAGTTCGGTGGTGCCAGGTGAGCCCATGTGTGCCTCTCTCCACACGCCGCTTCCATGCCGTTCTCACCACAGTTGGGGCGGTTTAAGCGGTAATGTGTTGGCTATGCAATGATGCATTGTTCGATCAATCCGTCTTTTAAATATTTTAAATTATATTTTTGGAGCCCAGTGCAGAACACCGGTGGGGGAGGGGGGGGGGTTACAGAAACTTTGCGGACAGAAGTTTTGAAGGCTGTGCTCCCTGAGGTTAGAGGAGGGGGGGAAGATTGGGCTCTTTGCTGATTTTCAAACACTGTACTTGCAATCCAGAGGTCACCGGTTCGATTCCACTTCCGCCCAGCAGTGTACATCGGCGAACCGTGGTTAGTCGGTCCGCAGGTCACGTGCAGTGGGGCAAATTGTGGGTACTCCTGCCTCTTTCAAAGATGTCTGCAAAACGTGGAAGAGGAGGCCAAATCCCCCTATAGAGGTCTTACAAGCAGAGTTCCTTCTGCCGGCAGTGCCGTGAGTATGCCAGTTCCATGGCTGCAACTTAACCTTTTGCCCTACACCTGGTACACACGCATCGGACCGTGCGTGAGGAGAAGTGATACTTTTGTTTGTTTATGTTTCCTGTTTGCCTTGGGGCTCGCGTGATGACCTCTGTGTCTACATGAGACGATGCGTTCGCCACAATCCTGCACGTGTTGTACTGATGCTCGACCCTGAATCGTGACGATTCATAGCGGGGGTGGGGGACAGAGAGATGGCTGCAGGACCAACAGATTTATATATATATATATTTTTTTTTCCGCTTTCACGGGGAAAACCTTGCCCGGTTGCCTCCATCATGAACGATGTAGGAAAGCGCCAGGGAATGTACCGCTGTGCTGCCGTACCATTAAGTCGCGCGCAGGACACACGTGTTCGCGCGCGCGTCAGGAGAGCAATACGGGGCAGTGCTCAGACACCAGAGTTCAACTTGTCTTGACCCCCGATGTAATGCGGTGGCGGCACAGAGATGACGGTTAACGAAACCCTGGTTTCGCTTCCAATACAATCGCGCACGGTACTAAACACTTCACCAAGATGGACTGAGTACTTTTGATTGTGATTATGGCAACCTTCTTATTCTAGCAACGCTTTTACATGTAACAAAAAAATAATTGCAATGTGTCATTCAGGGGGCGCTGTGGTGGCAAGATGTTAACTACCTCGCCTGATATACAGGAGGTCATCGGTTAGTGGGTTCAATCTTGACCCTAATGCCTGTTTATTTGGAGTTTGCATGTTCTCTCCTTGGTCGAGTGGATTTTTCTCTAGGTCCTCCAGTTTCTCCCTCCACATATAGAATAAACGTGTTAATGGTATTTGGCTGCTATAAATTACCACTTGGTAAGCCACTTCGTTTAGATATCATTTGTGGCCAGGTCACTTCTGAAAAAGAGCTTTATGAATACAAAATAAAAGTTTAATAGTTTATAGGTCATTTCATCAACATGTGAATCTGAATCTCTGTATCGTTTTGCTTGAACTTGGGTATGGAATCAAGGCAGCTCCACGCTTTAAATGACAATGTCATCAGGGAGGTCAACTGCGCTGGTTAGGTGAAAAATTTGAAATGTATTTACTGGGCCTATAGTTATAGCAGACTTGAAGTTGGGGTTGGTGGACCAGAGAGTGATATAATATTAAAAGGCAGTCAACTGCATTTGCTGTTTGGAGTGATTTAGCAATACCTTTGGAGGTCTACTGACCGATGACAAGGAGGTCTTCTAACCCATGGTATTAATAGAACTATTGACTTTGAGTGCTGGACATGAACAACACCAGTTACATGTTAAAGTTCATGAAAAGAAAACGTTTTAGCACTTGTGCTGAAATGCTGTGCTCTACTTTTCTTTTCATTTTCGGCGCGGTCGATTTAAGATTGTACCTTTAAATCGCGCGCAAGGCGCACGCGTTCACACGCGCAAATCGGCGGGGCCATCTCCTTCCACGCACGCACGTCAGGGGCGCGATACGGGGCTTGTGCTCAGATGCCGGAGGTAAACTTTTATTGACCCCCGCTGTTTCGCACAGCGGTGGCGGGCGCAACAACAGCGGTGGGCGGCTGTGACGTCATCGCATAGATGACGTTTAACGGAACGCTGGTTTCATCCCCAATGCTATCTCGCACATTTTGTACCACTTCACCAAGTTGGACTGAGATCTTTCGATTGCGATGATGACAACCTTCTTATTCTGGCAACCTATTCCATGTAGCAAATAAAAGACCGCAATATTGAGCCTTCATCGGTGTTATCAGAATTGCACGATAGGGCATTTCTATCGATTTAACTTCAGCAAAAAAAATACCCCTTGATTAAATTAATAGCGTTTAGTAATGAGATTAATAATGATAATAATTTACAGCCCTGTGTTGATCTGTAATTTACCGAATGCCACCACATGCCATGTGGGTAAGGAAGACTGTTGGGAAGCGTACTTCACTCACAGGTCGTCTGCATGTTAAGGAGGATATTCCGCTTGGGACGTTGGCTCAATGAGCACTTTGTCGGAGGAAGTCCGATCACCTGGAGATAAGCCCCCTCCCCCCCCGCGCAATCGACAGGATGATGCCAGCTCAGGTGTGCGTGAACCTGTACGTATGTTGGTCTTCTTTCGCACCGTATGTAGCCAACCGTGCTTAATCAGACGTGCGTGGGAAGGACAACAAACTAAACGTAAAAAATCTGATCGAAGGAAATCAATCCTTCAATCTAGATTTTAAAGTACCCTGGCCTAAGTGCGACACAGTAATTGCAATCTAGAACGTTATTCACGAATATAATATGGCGACGCATTTGCTGTGAGAGCACATCCATTGCTCCTTAAGAGGAACTGCGAGTCTGATAGAGAACTGCTCAGGAGATTGCCACATAGCCACCACACATCCGCATGCATTACAAAAAAAAGAAGAAGATAAAAAAAACACACCGCACGGTATTTTTCTAAAGCTACTAGCTCCGTCAATACAGCATCACTCAACGCGCGGCACGTGCGGCGCCAACGAAACATCGCTGGGAAATTAACGGGAGCGCCGGAAAACGCCGTATGTATGTACGTACGTTGACCTTCTTTCGCACCATACGCACGTAGTTAACCGGGACAGTCGTGACAGCAGAGTCTGGCTTGCGTGCCCCGCGGTTCAGTCGGGCGGGCGCTGGGTGAAGGGGCCACTTCGCCACTCACCCCTCCGGCCTGGGTTCTGTTTGGAAGGGCCGTTGCCCAAAACGTTGTTCATGGGCAGTGCCGTTGACGAATGCGTCGAGTGTTTTTTTTTCTTTCCCTCGGGTACGCGAATAAGGGGTGGATATATTTAAACAATATAGGGAAGACGTTGTTACACGTTTCTGACTGTAAACCTCTGTGAAGAGTTAAAGTGGAAGAAGTTTACTTGTTTAAATGAACATGGCAAGGTGCTTTCATCCCTATACCGCTGGCAGAAGTTGCACGTTCGTGTGGGGTGAGTCGGTGCACACAACAACAAAAACAACCAGCGCCCACTCCCCATCGCCGCGACCCCTGGCAACGCTGCCACGTGACCGACCGTATTCACTGCGAGAATGCAGTGAACAAAATGTCGACGTAGCTTCCCCCCCCCACCCCCCCTGGACAAAAAACGCTGCTCACGCAGCACGGACTGCAGTTTGTGCAACTGGGTGCTCGGGCCGTACCGTGCACAGCAGAGATACGTCGCAGCGGAAAACAAGAACGCCTCCTTCCCAGGGTCGAGAGGCGAGTGTGGGAAAGAGGCGTCGCTCGCTTTTGCCGTGAACGTTCCCCCACAACGGCGCTGGTTATTTCGTGCCATCCGGGGGTGTCGCGTGCGGCAGCGCCGTGTGTGCGAGAAGAGGGAATCTCTCGCTCCGACCGGCGCGGTTGGCCACGTGCGGTGCGAAGGAAGATCGACGTGCAGACATAATGTTGGGGAACCGAGATTGAGGGTTCGGACTTGTGTTTTCCATTTGTACACCAAGTGGTATTATTAGTAGTAAATAATAATTTTTAAATACAGTCAAGTCACTGTTGATTGAAGGTTCTCCCTGGACCGTATCGGTCATAGAGGTTGTTTGACCATACTTCACCTCACTGGTCAATGCGGGTCAGCCAAGTTAGGATGATGTTAGACGTAGCCAGGAATCAAACGTAAGCTGGCCAGGTTCACAGTGCAGCGTGCTGCTATCCACAGTGCCACCGCTGCACCCATGAAGGAAACGCTTTATCTGAAAGAAAAACAAAACGGCGAAGCATTTCAACGCTCCGTATATATGTAACTTAACAAGTCAGCAAAAAGATCCCTTATTAAAATGCACGAAGCGAAGAGGTACAGGGGTTTATACTCTTTGGTTATTTCTGTAAAGTCACGTAAATAGAAAATAATAGATCACGATGTTTTGATCGCAACACAAGCAGTCGTCTTCAGGTAAGACGATTGCTTGTGTTGAATTCCTGCAGTCACGAAAGCTTTAAATCAAGATTTAGGTACAGGGGGGAAGAGCACTGAGCGGATAGGGGGGCTGTGGTGTCTGCACGCCTTCAGGCAAGTGAGCCATGGGCGATTGCCCAAGAAGCCACATCCTCCTCGGTTGTCTGTACGGGCACGTTCTGGGAACGTGGTGGCGTGCGCGGTGCCCTTGCGTCTTGTTGGCGTGAATCGTGGCGCCCTTCGCTGGTGCAGGTGAGAGTTGTCAACCGGTCCGACTCACCGTACCTATGTACATATTTATATTCAAATTATTTCGCTCCGTACATAGCCAACCGTGCTAATCAGAGGTGCAGGGTGGGGGGTGACAACAAACTAAACACTGGCACAGATCCTGCGGCAACTTGTTCCAGAATTGTCCTCTTGCGTAACGGTTACCCGCTCTGCTGCCAGAGTGAGAACATTAAAGCGGCCTTCGGTGGGGCGCGTCGCTAGGAGGGACGTCGAACGATGATCAGGAACAATAACGAAGTGGTAGCCAAGGATCGGAACACTGCCGGCAGGAACAGCCACCGGGGAGATGGAGCTATGAAATCGGTTCGCGTGCGGGGCAGGTGCTCGGTGGAGCCTTTAACGTCGCGTGATGCGAGAGGTGGCGGCGGCTTGGGGGAGTCATTAGTCCAGCAGGGGATTGACCATGACTCATGACGACTGTGGAGGTGAGTTAGACGGGTCAGACAGAGATCACTGTGTGTCCAAACATGGAGGTACAAGCCTGTTGAAGGCAGGGGAGAAAGCAGGCTGGTGGTTCCTTTCAGCGTTATCCTCCGTAAGTGTAGAGTTCGTCCAGAGGAATAGATTTCCATGTCGTTCGCCTTCAACAGACATAAAATGACGTCGCAAGGCAGTTTATGCGAGAGCCGGGGCTTATGGGACCCCGGGGTCCCGCCATCAGGTTCATATGGCTATATTGCGGTGAAGGTGCAGCCCGACAATTGCTTGTTTACACCACCGCCGGCAGAACGTCCTCCACTAATGGGAGTTCTGAAGGATCTCCTTTAAATATTTAAGTTTTTTTACAACTTTTGTAAGAGGCGGAATGCCCACGCTTTACCCCATCACACGCGGCCTGTGCACCCATTCACACTGCTGAGTGGACAGAGGCCCGTGTGGGGGGCTGGGAGGTTATTTAGAAACTTGCCTCATTGTTTCAACCGCGGTGCCAGCAGATTGAACCGGCCACCTTTGGAACGCAAGTTCCGGTGTGCGAACCATTACTCCGCTGCGGCAAAACAAGATCGCCGCAATCCTAACAGAGTGGTGGCTCTCTGCGGCGGCTTTTGGCTAACCACCGGACAGAGATGCTCTTCCTTCAAATCTTGGGAAGCCACCGGAGCTATGCACTTTTAAATCATCTCGATTGAAAACTCATTTGGTCATAACAGTTTTATTTTTGCGCTTAGTCCGTTGTCCTTCCACCCGCAACTCTGACGAGCGCGGCCGGCTACGTACGGTGGGAAAGAAGCTTCAACATGCTTACGAACGTACGTGACAAATGCTCCGCAGTCCGAACATACAGAGGCGCAACCCAGCGCCGGACAAAGGGGACATGGCTGCTGCTGCTGCCGTCAGCACGACAACATCAGCCGTACCGGCAGGAGAACGCCGTGACTCGTGCCGCACGGACTCCGATTCTGAGACGGGGCCCGGGACGACCGCGGCGGCGGCGGCGACGCCGACACCGCCGCCGGCGCGGGACGCGGCTCGCGAAGACGCGGACGACGAGAAGGCGAGCGCGCGCGGGAAGGACGACGCCAATCTGGACGAGGAGGAGGAGGAAGAGGATTCCTCCTCCGGCGCTGCCACCACCACGGCCGCCACGGCCGGCGGCGCCCCGGGTGCTGGGCCGGGCGGCTTTGGGCCGGGCAAGATTCCCAACCGCGACAGCGGAATCGAGAGCCTGAGCTCGGCGTTCCCTGCGGACGATGCCGAGAGCAGGGAAGGCGTCGACGACGTGAGGGATGACGATCGGGACTGCCAGGTGAGTGGCGAGCGGTTGACACACAAAGGTGAAGATCACCCGTGTAGCTTGTCACAGTCTGTTGGGGCAAGTGCTGCTAGCGAGCGTCTATGAAGGTCAGCACGGCAACACGAGGGGGTGGGTGGCCAGCACCACGCCCGGTTGCCTTTGTCTCCCCGATGTTTACGCATCGCACCGCGTGCTCATTTGAGTCTGCAGCAACCTAGGGGAGGCCGAGGACCGGCTGAGATAATCGTCACTGGTGTTGGCCGTGAGCGGGAATCGATTTCGGGTCGCCGGGTTCGTAGCGCAGCGTAGCGAACCGCTGCGCTCCCCACACAGACACACACACACACACGTCAAGTCGTGCGTATAATGATAGAGTAGTTTCGATTTGCATGTGCGTTATGCACGATTGTCCTGGATATACAAGTGTAATTATTATTGGACGTCACTGATCCGTGTATTGATCTGTAGCTCGCCGAAGGTATATATGAAAGTCCTATTCGGCCCTCGGTTAGGAAAAGATTCCGCACTGCGAACATAAACCTTGTTGCCGCTCAAGATGGTTCGTTTACCATAGGCGCGACATTCACCTGAATGGCAAAAACACGTGTGATTGAATCAAATCATGATCTCGAATCATCGAATCGAAGGAGGCATTAATTGTTACATACCTAAATCACAAGCCTCTACACTTGCATATAATAATTGCATTGACCTTTGACTCACCACCAGCGATACGTTAACTACCTCGCCTAGTATACAGGAGGTTGTGGGTTCAATCCTCACCCTGTATTTTTGTAGATTGCACGTTCTCCCCGCTGTCGCAGGGATTTTTCTCTGGGTCCTCCGTTTTTTCCTTCCCACACTGAGAATCAACAACGTGCTATAAATGTCCACGCGACAATCCACATCGTTGAGCCACCATTTGCGGTGGCCAGGTCGCTTCTGAGAAAGAACTACGCAGAACAGTGGGCCTTACCTGGTTAAAAAAATACATATATTAATAGTTGATCATCTCCTCGCCAATTTGCCATGCAGTGTGGCGTGCGGTCGGAGGCCATCCCACCGGCGCCGGGAGAGACGGGCGGCGCTGCCGAGCGGCGGAAGTTGGCGCGCGACAGCCGCAGGAGAGAGACGCTCGAGGAGTTCGAGAGCGACCTCGAGGAGGGGAGCAGCGACGACAACGCGGAGCCGACGAGACACACGGCGCCCGAGCTCGGAGGAGACTCGCAAACGGCCGTGAGTTTGTTGGGGGGGGTGGTAGGGGGGGAGCGCGAGCAGTCACGCACAGCCGTAGGGGACTCGCCGGCTCGCTCGCTTGCTCGTCGATTCGCTCGCTCGTTGCAAGGCCCCCACCCGCTCGTCAACCGTCCTCGTTTCGTCGTCGCATTGGGACGGTCACCCAGCAACTGCACCGCTAAACTCACGAGCTCACGCATCGCTGGGTTCGCTCCCGCACTCACCCGTCGGTGTATAGTCCGTCGCACTCTGTGCCTCGCACAGGGTATAGTGGTGAGGACGTGTCCGCAAAATTGTCGCCTTTCTGAAAATTTTTTTTTAAAGATAACGTCCAATACAAACCAAAGGGAGCCAAATTCCTGGTAGGATAATCTGAAAGTTGGGTTGCCCCCACCGATTTATATTTAAAGCCTTGTCTCCGTGACCTCATTGTCCACTTGACAACAGCCACCATGGCTTCGCTGTGGTGAGCGTTCGCCGCTCGTTTTTGCAAGAGGTCCCACGGGGTTCGAATAAGGCGACTGCCCTGATTATTCCTCCGGTGTGTAACAACTTCAATAATATGACCACTACTACTACCACTAACTACACGCCGCCTGCTTCACAGTGGACGTTAAAGATCCCCTGACGTCATCTCGGAAGAGTGGACCATTCAGTGCTGGCGTCGTTGGTCCGAATTTGCCAATTTATTTTAAAAAATCAGCACCACAAATTACTCCATTAGATATTATACAAGACGATCATTGCCCTTTCTACTGCCGGGTCGATCTTGCAAATGAGACTCTGTCCTGGTCTTTTGAAGTTTTCACCTCGTTAGACGAAATCAACTTGAAACTCGGCAGTACGTATGTATGTATGCATGTTGAACTTCTTTCGCGCCGTACATAACCAACCGTGCGTAATCGGAGGTGCGGATGGCTAATGGGGCAGCAGACAAGAAACATGCGGCATCTTTCTACATCGTTTTTTTCTTCTTTTTTCGTTGTCGTTTCCGTACTGAACACCAACCGAGGTCGGCGTTTAACCGTTGTGCTGCCATGTGTGGTGGCCTTTCAGGAGCATCCCAAGGAGAAGTTGTACAAAATTGCTGATGAGCTTCTGCAGACCGAGAGGGCTTACGTCACGAGACTTCACCTCCTGGACAAGGTAACCACGTCTCTCTGTGTGGCTCTCAGCTCTCTCACTCGGACCACAAATGCGAAATGACTTATATATAACCAGTATATTAATGCTACAATTTATATCGCGCGTTTAATCGAGGATCTCAAAGCGCTGTACAAAACACAGCAGGGAGACACTCAGCGTAAACAAATAAATCGTGAAACGAAAAATATATTTTGATCACAACAATAATTAAATAAATGCTTAACGCCATTTTCTGAATTGACTCATAGTTGAACAGAAGTGTATACATAGATTTTAAGATGTGTTTGAAATATGTCCACAGACTCGTAGAGCTCGTGAGATCTCGTGGGAGAGAATTAAAATAAACTCAAACCAAACAAATTTTTCATTTTACCAGCTAAGGCCCACTGAGCTATGTAGCTCTTTTTTCCGAAGCGACCTGGCCACAAATGATAGCACAACGAATTGGCTTATCATCGTGTGGAAATTTATAGCAGCCAAATACTCTAAACGCGTGTTGATTCAAAAATGTGGAGGGGAAAAAACGGAGGACCCGGAAACAAAATCCACGCGACCACGGAGAGAACATGCAAACTCCAAATATACAGCAGGTGTCAGGGTTGGGATAGAAGCTACGACCTCCTGTATACCAGGCGAGGTAGTTAACATCTTGCCACCATTGTACCCTTTGAGCCAATGCTCAGCGACTGTGCAAAAAACTAAATTACTGGCAAATTAAAATTAATAACAGGAGTTACATATATACACCGTCATGAAAATGAAAATCTTGACATTTCAACTGACTGGCCTTCATTTCCTCTATGAGTTTACTGAAGCAGCAGCTTGACAAATTCCGTTTGGTATTCATACAAGAATGTAAGCATATAGGCAGCATTTGCCTTTAAGCCTTTGGCCCAGAAGTGGCCGATCAATATCACCCAGGGCGTGCGCGAGGATTTTACCTTGAGATCACATCAACGTGGCAGCAGTATATGAGAAAAATATCGTTAACGGATTCCAGTTGTGTGTTCGATGGAGCATTTTGGTTTGGAAACAAATTGTGAAACACACTATCTACGGAAGACGAAAATAAAAACTTAGTGTCTATACCAGTGATGTGCGGTGAGGTCAATGGCAGGGGAGGCACTGGCTAGTGTCAGAGCCAGATTCAAACACTGAGGGGGGCGTGGCCTCACGGAGGGGTGCGTGTTAGACACGTCCCCCTCAGTGAGGCAGATGTGATAGCTGCCTCCCCTGGTGCTTTTTCATTGCAGTTTCATGACGAGACATATACGTGAAATAAGTTACCTGGAGCATGTAATGAAGCGGTCTACAAACATTACGTTGGTGACACACTGAGATAGTAACAGGCACGCGCTTATTGCCCGGGCTCCATCCAGTTACTGAGGGGTTGCGCAATCAGAGGGGAGGCTGAGCTCGTCGCTGCCTCACCTCTCGGCTCTTCCTGTATTTGCAGCGGAGCTCCGCAAATTTGGCGATTTTTACTATAAAAATGATTGGAATTGTACAGAAATGACATTTAGAACACAGATCAGTGGAAAAATCTTAATATTTATTTTATTTGATTATTCTTTTTTTTTACACTTTTCGTAACAGCTATTTTCATTGGAGTATGACAGGCGAGGCTCTGCCTCCCCTGCCTCCCCTGACCGCACGTCCCTGGTCTATACAACAGATGGCATATACAGTAGGCTTTTTTGCTGCCACGATGGCGAGTTGTTAACTACCTTTCTAGGTATACAGGTGGTCGTGGGTTTGATACCGGCACTGACGCCTGTATATTCGGAGCTTGCAAGTTCTCCCCGTGGTCACGTGGATTTTTCTCCGGGTCCTTCGGTTCTTCCCTCCACACTTCGAAAATGCGTTGAAAACTTATTTGGCTGCTATAGACCTTTTGTTGAGCTCTCATTTGTGGCCAGGTCACTTTTGAAAGATAAGTTCATACCTCAGTCGGCAATGTCTGGTAGGATGTGGATGGTTTAGTTGTATTTGCATTCGTTTGGGTGATGTGTTTACCCTTCTTATTCTTCGCACTGCTCTCGTGTGTCTCGTGTTGTTCGTTGTTGTAACATCCTTTCCCGCCCCTTGCTGGACCTCTGTGAAAAATAGCTTCGTAGCTCATCGGTGACCGTGTGAGAGTGTGTGAGTGTGCGTGTGTGTGCACAGTAACGAAATATGCACTGGGGTTGGCCACCGGAGATCGTTGGCCAACGGGAAAGACCTCGAGCCAGATGCTGAGACGATATGATGGGGGTGTGGGGAGTCCTCGGAGTTCGGGTGTCGACCTCCCAACGATAGCGCAGGGGGCATGGGAAATATTTGTGAAGTCAAGGGAGCAAGAATCCACGCCCATCCCCCCACCCCTCGTGTCGAACAGCAAAGGCATTTAGGGGGACAGAGAGCGTGTGGCTCAAGTCCCGATTCAAACGTTCGGTTTGGGTTTACCCCCGCCCCGCTCCCTCCTTTGCTCCCAAGCTCATTGTAGATGCAGGATCTGAGAGGGAAGGTAGCGTTCGGTGGGCGGCAATGACCGGTGGCACCGACGTCGTAAAATCCCATGAGTCAATGTGCAGCCGCGTCGCACCGTTGCTTGTCGCTGCGGGTTTGGAATAAGTCAGGTTTCGCGGTCATAATTCTCTTGAAGGCAACATTCCCGAACGCAGATTCGTTGGCGAAGTGTGCGACTCCGGTTTACGAGGGCCTCTCTTGGCGATGCGGCGCAACAACTCAGCTGCGAGGGAATTATCGTGGCGCTTTGTCATCTCGTGGCAGCGACTCGAAATAAACAGTAAACGCGCGGCGGAGATCTGGTCACGGTTCTCCGACGTGTGTTTTCAAAACGTGATCTGCCGTTGGGCGCGAGAGCGTCTGCGGCTCGCGCCACGAAAGGTTCGACGCGGCTGCAGACGCGTTGCCTGGAAAAGTGGCGCGTAAAGCGAAAACCGCGTGGAGCGGAGACGGCTTCTCCGCAGGGAACGTGACGATAACGTTTGGCGAGACACGACGTAGTCGTGCGCACAGGCAAGAAATAGTCTTCCTGAGTCGACTCCCGCACTAGTCGACGGATAATTGATAATTTCACATCGAATCATATTCGTAGAATATTTCCCATTTCTCGTACGACGACGCAGTTGTTCATTCGCTGATTTCTACTTGCTTAATCGCTGTCCTTTATTTTAGCGGGTATGCTTCTGTCGTTTCGGTGGCACAGGTCTCTTGCAAATGAGGCTGTCCTGCTCTCCTTTAGGTCCCACCTGGTTCAACAAAATAAACTTGACGTCATGTCGACTTGCTTATCTGGCAGGTGTTCATCACCGTGGCGATGACCCCTAGGGTCCCTGTTTCGCGAGCGGCTGTTTTGGCGAGCCATCGAACTAAGACGCTCACCGCGTCGCTCGCGCTTTCACATCGCGCTTCTGTGGCCGCCTGGAACGCTCTTCCTTCCAATATTAGGAAGGCACTGGAGTTATGGACTTTAAAATCATCTCGATTGAATGTTCATTTCTTTACAACTGCTTTGTGTGTTTAGTTTGCTGTCCTTCCGCCGCATCTCCAGTTAGCGCGGCCGGCTACGTACGGTGCGAAAGAAGTTCAACGTACATACGTACATGTGTGCGTCTCTCCGTCGCGTGCCCTGCCTGCGAGCAGGTCTTCTGCGCCCGACTGCTCGAGGAGTCTTGCATCAAGAGCGCCTTCCCGGCCGACGTGGTGACGGGCATCTTCTCAAACACCTCCACGATTCACTTGTTCCACCAGGAGTTCCTGCTGCCCGAGCTTGAGAAACGCATGCAGGAGTGGTGAGTCTACGCTCGCGCGCGGTCACGTTCCTTGCATCTATCGCGATGCGTGGGGTGCTCTAGGTGGATCCTGTTATCCGACACAGTGGTGAGATGTTAACTACCTCACTTGGTACACAGGAGGTCGTGGGTTCGATCCCGACCCTGACGCCTGTATATTTGGAATTTGCGTGTCCTTCCCATGGTCACGTATTTTTTTCCGGGTCCTCTGTTTTTTCCCTCCACATTTTGAAACACGCGTTTAGAGCATTTGGCAGCTATAAATTTACACGTGATAAGCCACTTCATTGAGCTATCATTTGTTGCCAAGTCGATTCTGAAAAAGAGCTATATAGCTCAGTGACCCTTACCTGGTAAAATAAAGAAAAATAGTTTCATGTTTATTTTCACAGTTGCCCCTGCAATCCGCGTGGTTCTCCGTGGATATGTTAGGTACATAGGTTGAACTTCTTTCGACGCCGTATTTAGCCAACCATGTGGACAGACGCAGAAACGAGCTAATCGGAAGTGCAGATAGATGCAGAAAGGTAAAGGTGCAGTCCTGCAATTGCATGCTCACGACACTGCTGGCGGAAGGGCATCTGCTAGACGGAGCTCTTAAGTGCCCCTCTTGGTCCCCCTCCACCCTGCTGCTTGGACACCTTGGAAGAGGGTGAAGAGATGCAAGAAACTCACCCCGCATGTCAACTACCATGCCAGGAGGTCGAATGAAACCAGCAAATCGTGGATTGCACGTCCCCAGCGTGCGACCCATCGCACCATGATGGCATTCCTGCTGTAAAAAATAACGCCTCTTTTCTTTTGGTTGAAATGCCATCAATTGGCTTGCGCCCCCACAGTCTTATTTTATTCATTAATCTCTCCTTCCCCCAGTGTGCGTAATTAGTGAGAGGAGGGGGATAGCCCCCTGCGCCAATCCTCCTGACGGCGAACGTGGCTTCCGCTGGCGGTGTGTAACACGCAGTTCTCTGCAGCTGCAGGAGGAGCAGTTTATAAATAAATGTCGAATCTGATGTCGTTTGTGCTCACGGAAGCGGGGCGTACAGATGGGATTTTGTAATTTGGGGTTAATCCGCATCAAGGCTTTGCTTGGCTTTGTTATTTTTTTTTTGCGACACAAATAAAACCCCAAATTACTTTGGAGGGAAAAAACTAAATTACTGATCAGCGTTTAGCACAGTGTTGCCTAAGTGGCTCTGGGGATGGGAGGGGAATTGTTTTGTCTGCTTAAACATTGCTTGCAAAGTTGTTCACAATGGAAATTCAGCCGCTCATCCTATGAAGATGTATATAGAGCCTATCACCGAGGTGCTTTACATTGATTGCAAAAATGTACACAGGATGATAATGGTTTGAAATGAAGAAGTGGGTTTTTGTGGTGAGGTTTTGTTGGCAACAGAACAAGAGGGCTTGACAAGGAGGTGTCGGGATAGGCCTGGTCGTAGCTGGGCGGGGGTGGGGGGCAACAGAAAGCGTGAAGTGTTGAAAAGTAACGAGGCATCCATAATAGAGGTTTTTAGATTAGATCGCGTAAATATAAATGTGTCGTTAAAGCCGCCACCACCCGACACAGCCAATTAGTAAGAAGGGCTTCCACCAGAGAAATCTATAGAAAGGCCCTCTGGGTGGTATTTACTCTTCCACACTGGCTGAACGTACTGGGGAGTACTCACACTTTACCCCACTGTGTGCGACCTACCGATCGACTTAATTGTCGTGAACACCTTGAGACTGCTGGGTGGATAAAGGTGGCAGTGGGCGTGGGGATTTAAGAAACTCGCGCCATCGTTTCAGCTGCCGTGTCGGGAGTGAGAACTGAGCCGGCGTTTTCACCATGACACCACTGCGGCTTCTTGAAAATAAAATAGAGAATCTTTCTATATCCAAGGCAGGACTCCATCCGTGCGCATAATAAATAATTGCGAACATCAGGTCAGATTTTCTCAATTCCACTCAAAGCGAGCAACGTGGCAGGCAATTCACCTCCACTCTCCGACCTGAGCCAGTGGTGGAGATTCCTCATTCCCGTGACAGGGCCGGTCTCTACAAGGCACGTCCGTTTGTTTGACCCTCCCCGTCTGCTGTACAGGCACGAGAATCCCCGCATCGGAGATGTCCTGCAGAAGCTGGCTCCCTTCCTCAAGATGTATGGGGAGTACGTCAAGAACTTTGACCGAGCTATGGACCTTCTCAACACGTGGATGGAGAAGTCTTCTCCGTTCAAGGCCATCATCCAGGAGATACAGGTGCTGTATCATCATCATCATCATGTATAAACGCTCGTTATTGATAAAATGTTGCGTTATATTGTCACGGTGATTGTTTATGCAAGGAAAGCCTCGCTGAGTTGCGTGATTCTTTTTCAGGACGGCCCTGCCAAAAGTTGTTGCATTCATTCACTCGATAAGATGTGGACAACAGCCATAGAAGTGCCTCTTTGACTCTTTTGAAAAAAATAATAATCCAGGAAATACATTCCATACCGCATCAGTACCATGATGAAATAATTGTCTTTTCGGACAAAAGCTTTTTTTTTTTTTACAAATCAACATCAGGCGGAGAGAGATTTGGCAGCGTATATAATAAATATGGAAGAAACAGGTAAAAAAATTATTAAGTTTGCAGCATCTGTTGAACACCCAACGGAGGGCCCGTCTGTTTAAATGTAGGGGAGCTCAAAGCGTGTGTTTGCTATTATTGCTGGCTTCCAAGAGCGTGCCAAGTCCGTCTGTTCTCTCGAGTGGGAAAATAATAATTAAAAAGAAACCAGATGAACTCTGTGAAGTGGCGCTTTCGGGGGTGGCTGCTGGCTTGGTGGTTCAGGCATCTATTTTCGAGAGATCCTCATGGACATCTGCCTTGTGTGGAATGTTTCGGCCGATTCAAATGAATTTAGCACACCCCGCGCTTTCGTGTGGGAGCGTCCTGCACGCGTGACGGGAACCCGATTGGCCCCCACCGGGGGGGGATGGGGGAAATACTCAAAAAAAGTTCTGCACAGATCGAATCAAGAATTCACGACAGCGCTGATATCTCTTGGTCACCTCTCGAAGCTGTAGGTGAACGGGCACAAAAGCTTGTCTGGCCGAGTATTAAAACTTCTAGATTTGAAGCTTTCGTGACTGCAAGGATTCATATTCTTAGGTTTTTTTCGGTAAAGTCACGTAGGTAAAAAATTAAAAATTAATGAAAGTTTTATTAATTTTAATTTTTTACCTACGTGACTTTACCGAAAAAACCTAAGAATACGAGTATTAAAACCTCCAATGAGCACCATTAGCACGGGTGGCTATGTAGGAGTTCAATGTACATACAAAACCTACACATTTGAGGAGGATATCACCAAGAGGCTCACACGGATGGGTTCACCCACCCCAGTTTTCTTCACTGCCATCCCACCAGAATGATGTGGAATTTCCACCTTGGGCTCAGAGCCATCAATGTTTGATGAAAGCCAATTCCCCTGATTCTTTGTTGTTAAAAAAAAAGGTGAAATGTGCAACCCTGCAGTGTCTCGCTCACGCCGCCGCTGGCGGGAGGGCCTTCACCATAGGGAGCTCTAGAGAGGCCCCCCTCTAGAGCAGGGGTGGCCAACCCATCACAGACAATGAGACAAAAAGCCAACAGGTACCCATGAGTTCTGCACAGAGCCGAGTGTGTATATCTAAGTGTGTATATACTGACACTTGTTGGCACAGCACGGGAGACATTTAATTATTCTTTGCTCCTGTGATAGCAGTGTGTTCTACGTCATGCCCCTTCGACAGAGCCACACGTGGTGGATTTAAAGAGCTCGGGAGACGCCAGTTGGGCCACCGCTGCTCGCGAGGGGTATTTTGCCCGACTCTTCCACGCTGGCCAAATGTCCCGGGAGACGTGGACGTACCCACACTTTGCCCCACTACGGGGCAAACCCACCCAACCGTGTGAATCGCCGCAAACCACACCGAGCCAATATTCATTATTTGCATTCGTTCATTTATCTTTCCCCCTCCCCCCGCCGCCACGCCCCCACCTTGAATGAAACAGAAGCGGGACATCTGCCACAACCTGACGCTGCAGCACCACATGCTGGAGCCGGTGCAGAGGATCCCGCGGTACGAGCTGCTGCTGCGCGACTACCTCAAGCGGCTGCCCGAGGACGCGGTCGATCGCAAGGACGCGGAGAGTGAGCGTCACACATCCCGCCTTTGGCCCCGGCACGCGTCCTGCGCGAATCTGCACGCGTTTTTGCTCGCCGCACACGTGTGCGTGCGGCATCGTGCCGCGTGTCTGTTGTTTGCGCAAACCCAGATCATCATCATCATGATCCACGGGCAGATAGCCCGTAGGTGTCCAGCGCACATTTTGTCATTTGTTTCCACTTTCCTCTGTCTTGTGCCGAAGTAGCGCCACTTATTTCTGGCACCCGTCTCTCATGTCGCGCGGCGGCACTTTCCAAATGGTCAAAGTAATCTTCTACGCAAACGAGCATTGATGCAGTGTTCGTCTCCTTCCGAAGCGAGTGGTGGAGGTTCCACGGTCTTGTGACGGAAACGAGTCTCTGCACAGGACAACCGCTGTTAACTTCCACGCTCAAGTGGTGCTCGGCTTATCGACCCTCGGAGGCATGATTAGCTGAATCGGCACCCAACCGGGGGATTTAATACTCGCGCCCTTTCTGATGGCGAGCCGCTCGCTCGACCGCTCACGGAGAGTTGCACGCGGAAGGCGGAGGGAGACTCGTTGTAAATAAAAACAGGAGTTGGCTGAGTGGCTTAGAGGCTAATCCTATGCCAGGGCACCAAGCCAGCCACCACTGAGATTTTGGCTTCAAATCTGGGCTTTGCAGTCACCCACGGTGAACGCGGGTTTCTCACGTGTGACGAGTTCATGGTCTCAGCTGGTTCACCGACGACCGCACAAAGGGTCGCGTCGTCATATTTATAGTTGCGTGTTTTAACGCAATCCTCCTCTGCAAAGTAAAATATTGAGTTCGTTTGACACGCGGCGAAACACAGTTTTGTCTGCTGGGAGTTCAAACGGTGTTATAAAGAGGTCTATTTGAAGCGACTTCAGAACTAGTTCTGGGATACCATGTTCTCAGGATGCTCACCACTCACCGTGATGTCGATAGCACGACTGCGAAATAATTTGGGGACGGATAAAACAAAATGAAGTGGTGGCAGAATCCACAGCGGCACAAGATTGACCAGGGAATTAAAAAAGAACCTTTTTTTATTTTGTAAGCAGTGCAAAGAATGAGAATGAGTGTAATAACACAGTGTACATTGAGAGAAGACAGGTCACTATGCTTTAAATCAACGAGGAAACAATTCACGTGATGGGGTTAAATGAAGCGACCAGCGCAAGTAGGTCAACTTAGCCTGAAAAGATCCCCTGATGCAGTGTTGTGGTAAACGTGATGTTTGAGGAGGCAAAAGAGGTCAGGATTGTGTGCATGGTCCTGGCCCTACCACGTGCCATCGACGGATGCACCGTACCGTCGTACAGGCCCTGAATAGGTTCTCGCTAACAGTGCTTGCCCCAACGGTCTGCGCGTGTACCCGCGTGGGTCCTGGTTTCCCTCCGCGTCATCGCAACGGTCTTCATATTTCTCGTCAACTTCAACCTTACCGATTTTTTTCTGCCCAGCGCGACGCTTGTGATCGTGACCAGCCCTGACATCTTTCGCCAGCGCTGTCTGGCACGCCGCTGTCAGTTGTGCACCGAATTGTTTATTTCATTGCCCCACCAGTGACCTCTTGCCACCATCGACATTCAACTCCCGATGGGTGTCTGGGCCCTGCTTTTTTTAGGCTACCGAACGCAAAACAGCGACGAGAGCCATGTTCCCAATCATTTGTTTTCTAGAGATTGTGGTTGTCATTCAATACAGTTGCCATTAATGTTTAAGTAATAACGTTAATAATAGGAATAATACTTTCCTTTAATGACACTGTGTAACAAAAACATGTTCCTGGGTAGTAAGTGTTATTTCCTAATTGTGTCTGCCTGAAAAGTATGAAAAATGGCTATTATTCCCCACAAACTTTGCTTTTGTGACCAGGACATTGATATTTGAAATTTACCTATTTTCAATGAGAAAACCTGTGCATTTGTGTTTTTCGTTCACATAAAGTCCTGGTCACAAAAGCAAAAGTTTGTGGAGAATAATAGCCATTTTCTATACTTCTTAGGCATAAGCAATAAAAAATAACACTCAGTACTCAAGAACAAAAATTGTGTCACGTAATGTTATACACATGTGAAAATACCACAAGAGTAAAAGTCTATCGACCAAGATGGAAATGAGGCAAACAAGTAGAAACATAACGATTGCAACCATTATCATCACCGTTTTAATATCTGTGAGCAAATTAAAACGTGCATTGCAAAGAAAGATGACCTTGTTTGTTTTTCTGATTCAGCAAAACCGCCTTTTTGAAGTGTTGCAAAATAATGCACCAATGAGTAATCGTCTTACTTTTCCATTTTCAGAATCCTTGGAAATCATCTCCACAGCTGCAAACCATTCCAATGCCGCCATCAGGAAAATGGTGAGAACCATTTATAAATGCATTCACGATCAAGAACTTTAAAAATATCCACCACGAATGTTCCTGGTCATTCCACGGAAACTCCGGTCATCCTCGCAGCAGCGGTCTTTGGCTGGCCATCGAAGACGGTCACAGATGTGCTTTGGCGGCCTTCTGGAACGCTCTTCCTTACGATAATAGAAAGACACTCGAGCTATGTACTTTTAAATCTAGATTGAAAACGAATTTCTTTATAATTGCTTTTTGGGTTGAGCTTTGTTGTTCTTCCCGGTACCTTTCGATTATCACGGTTGGCTACATACGGTGCGAAGAAATTATCGACACACGTACATATATTACTACTGTACACGCGACCTGCCAATGAATACAATGCAACGTATTAATGGACCACTAAAGAATGCACTAAATCCAAACTCTTTTTATTTGTTTTACCATGTAGGGCCCACTGAGCTATGTAGCAATTTTTTCAGAAGCCACAATTGATAGCTCAACGAAGTGGCTTACCATGTGGAAATGTATAGCAGCCATAAGACTCCAAATGCACGTTGCATTGCAGTGCGTAATAAAGAAAAACTAAAACTTGCTATATCGACTGTACTTAAGTTATTTTTCTGTTCGCTACAGATTCTTATTTTGTTAATGCCAATCATTCAACCTTTCCGATCCATTCCCGGCTAGCTGGGAGCAAATTGCCCGTGCTCCTCCAAGTAACAGGTTATGTAAAAGTATATACAAAATAAAAACATAACTTTACTTATTGAAAACATTATTTATAGTAACTGTCGTCATTTGTTGTTGTTGTTGGACTGACCCGACCATACTGGACATCTAAAAAAAAAAGAGCTTGACGGCTCATCGGATTCCCCCTCCTGCAGTCTTAACAAATATTCCGATTCCCGTCTTGTGCCTGGTTCGACGCAGGAGAAAATGCACAAGCTGCTGGAGGTGTACGAGATGCTGGACGGTGAGGAAGACATCGTCCACCCGTCTAACGAGCTCATCAAGGAGGGCCAGATCCTCAAGTTGTCGGCGAAGAACGGCACCGCTCAGGAGAGGCACCTGTTCCTGGTAGGAGCCCCGGGGCCGGGCCTGTGACGCCAAGGCCTGTCACCGTTTCACAACAAACACCCGCCTTGGCTCTGAACGCCACGCGGCTTCTGAGGTGCTGGCTGTGGCTTCGCCGATTGCGCTCGCTCTCTCCGAGCCTTGAATTTCATCAATGTACCCTGCCTGGGAATATTTTACCCCTTTTCCACTGGCACATCCGAGCTGAGCCAGCGCAGGACTGTGACGGTACGGGTGGCATTTTCACAGGATATTTGCCGTGCCAAGCCAAAACCAAACCGTGATCAACTTGACTGACGAGGCTAATTACGGGTTCATTGCTTGTGAGACCAGCGATTACACTGCGTTTAGTTTGTTGTCCTTCCAACGAAACTTGCGATTATAGCATTGGTGCCATTGGCACAGCTCAGCTTCTGCAGTGTGAAAACAACCTGGCACCTCCTAAGCTGCACCAAGCTGACATGGGATAGCTCCGGTGCAGATTGGTTGAACAATGGAAAAATAGATTCTATAGGTGCCTTAGTCTGACTCTCGAATGTTCATGAATTTGCACTGAACTCTGGTCATTCTGAACTTGCCTTCCTCAGGCTCGTTGAGCCTCAGACATTATTAACAATGAGTTATACGTCTGGCTGAGCTTCACGCACTGGCTCAGTTGGTGAAGCCATGGGGTAGGGGCCCAGTCCTGGTTTCCGGTGGCATCCGCCACTGATATTAGCCGTGAATGATTATAATCATCGTCAGGCTGGCGGGTTCACAGCTAATCACTGCGTCACTTCTCTAACCAAGCGACATGTAATAAACGATGCAACGGTGGCAACTTGGCGAGGCCTTTGTCACAGCAGCAGCAGCTGAGCATGGCAACAAACAAAAAAAATCCAAGATGTAAGCCGAGAGACACAACGTTTAATTTGCGCTCTATGTGTGCGTGTGTTCGCCTACCCCTCCAACCCCAGTTCAACAACATGCTCCTCTACTGCGTGCCCAAGCTGCGACTCATGGGGCAGCAGCGTTTCAGCGTGCGCACGAGGCTCAACATCGACGGCATGCAGGTGCTGCAAGCGCCAGCCCCCCCCCCATTCACCTCCACACAAACCCCACGCGTCTTTGCCACTCGTGTTGCTGGCCGCGACGGCTCAATTGCATCGTTGTTTGAGCACCGCACATCCGAGGGGTTTTGTGCTGTAAGCCCCAACGGGCTGTGGCTGCCGTCTTTCAGATGCCGATGTTCATGTCAGGATAATGGAGCAACAACCTCTTAGGTTCTGGGCTCAAGCCGTCGGGGTGCTGGGTGTTTCTAAGGATGCTGATGACTTTATTGATAGAGACATGGCCGGGGGTTCAAGCCCTTGGGACTGGGTGTCTCTTTGGTCAGGAATTGGTGCCTGCGTCAGAACAGTAAGCCGCAGAAGGCTGTGGCTTACCGACTTCCTGAGTGTGACCTCGCTTATCCACACCAGGGGAACTGAACTTACCCTCAAAGCCTGGTGTAGAGATGTTCGTAACATCGCACCAATATTTGTAGCGATCGGTGCTTACATTTTGTCAAATCAAGTAAAAAAAAAAAAAAATTCAACACAGCGGTGTTTGTGCAGCCGTCGGCAACCGGGCAAAGATCATCAGCTCCCTCCACTGGAGAACCCCGTTGAACCACTGGCATCCGTAATCCGGACTCAAACCGTGGATGTCAACGGTGCTAGCTCAGTGTCTCTGACCTCATCAGCCGCCCGGTCTTGTGGTTCCTGAATAAAGGATGCGTGTCTAAACAACGAGTCCCCGGCTCATCCCAGCGTGCGTTCCGGCACGCGTGCCGACACGCGGCGCGGTGCGTGCTGACACGCGACGCGCTCTTCCCGCCCAACAGCTGCAGGAGGTCGAGTCCCAAGGGCAGCCGTACACGTTCAGCGTCTCAGGGAAGCAGAGGGCCTTGGTCATCCGAGCACGGTAACTCCTCGCGCCCACCCACCCGCCATCCCACCCCACAAACCTCCCTCCCTCCTTCACCCCATGCACCATCCCCCCTCCCCCTCCGCACACACCATCTCCTCTTCCCTTCCTCCCTCCCAGCCACCCCCCACACAAACCTCCTTCTCACTTGCCCACCCCCTCCCGGCCATCACTTCCTCCCACGCAAATCCCACCGCAACGCCTCCGCGCGCTGCTCCCTTGGGTCCGAAGTGGTCCAAGTCGCGATTGGTGGGGAACCTTGTTACGGAAGTGCAGGATGTCCTGCAGGATTTCATATTGGGACAAATGCAAGTGCTCTGAAGGAAGGCCGATGCGCCGCATTGGTGTTGTTATTACGATAAGGGCGGCAGAGCAGCGGCAGATATCTCACTGCCATACGAACCCCCCGACGCCAGTTTCATTCCCGGCCACGAGATTTTAAACTTGAATATGGCGGGAGCATTGGACTCTAAACGCCAGCGATTTGAGTTTCAATCCTGGCCATGGCCAACATCAGTGGCGAGTGATTATACGCGAACTAGTGCCGCCCTGCTTAGCTCCCTTCACCAAGCCTGTGCTGAAGGTTTATTCGCCAACTTGTTTGTGGGATTGATTGTAATTCCCATAGAAACTATTTTAACAATACAGTAGCACCCCTCTTAACGACGGTAATTGGTTCCACGAAACAGGTCGTGAAATGATTTGGTTGTTAAAGTGAGTATAGGAAATACATGTTTAAGGCTTTATTCGTTCCGATAGCATCGAATGTAAACAATGCTCAACACTCGTGAATGGAGGTCGCTGATTGGCCGAGGCCTGGTCAGACCATTTTGGAGCTCGCCGTTTGGCCGACATTGGCGGTCACGTGCTCGTCATAATCCCGTCGTTAGCAGGGGGAATGGTCGGTAAGCGAAGACATTGGGCTCTGTGGAGGCACGTCGTAAGCTGTTAACAGGGGTGGTCGTTCAGAGGGGTTTTGCTGTATACTTATTATTGTTTTAGTTTAACACGTAGGCTTTCACGACCAATATGATCCATAATAGAGGTGTTTTGGGTTAGATCGCGTAAATATATAAATGTGTCGTTAAACCCGCCAGCACCTGACACAGCCAACTAGTACTGTGTGAATAAAAAAAAAACTGCCAGAAGAAATTTTACATTTCCTGGATGAAAACGTGTAAATTTAGGTTCCGTTCTTTAACCAGGTGATGCTTAACAAAGCGTGTAAAAAATTACATTAAATCAGCTGTGGCTTCAGTAATCCCAGTGCATTGTAGAGCACTTTGGTGAGTGCAGCAGTGGCCCAACCTGCGTCTTCTGACCTGCATGTGGCTCTTTAATCCACAATGTAAAGTAGAACGCGCTATCACAGTAGTAGTAGCAAAGAATAGTGAATGACTCCCGTGCTGTGCTGAAAACTGTCAATATATACACGCACTTTGCTCTGTGTCGAACTCATGGGCACTGTTTAGCTCTTCGTCTGTAACGGGTTGGCCATCCCTGCTGTAGTGAGACGAGACTGGGCTTGCTCATTTCTTCGTTTGCTTTATTGTGACTTCATCGTTCTATTTCTTGTTACAGATCAGAAGCTGAGAAGAAAGAGTGGGTCAAGGTACGCCAATAACACCACTCGCTGAATTTGTCCACAATGCTTCTCTCTCTTGAGAGAGAGAGAAAAACAGTCACACCCTTTCCTATTGGTGGAGGCCTTGCCATTCGAATTGTGTTCTTTGGTGATGCTTTTGTATTGGTGCACAGATGCAAGTAACTATTTTCGTTTGCTATTTTTTTTATTTTACCAGGCAAGGCCCACTGGACTATGCAGCTATTTCTCAGCAGCGACCTGGCCACTAATGATAGCTCGACGAAGTGGCTTATCGTGTTGAAATATAGAGCAGCTAGAGACTCTAAACGCGTGTTTCTAAACGTGGAGGGAAAACACTTTCGGCCAGTCGAAAGCAAATGATTCCAAAATATTTAAGTTGATGTCCGACTTGTCCGACATCCCTATAAACCCCCCTGAATCATATTTGTAAAAATATTGTTACCAGAGGGTTTCCATACACGTATCATCCATTATTAAATCGTTACAATTCGATGGCAATCTCAGCCAACTGCATGAAACTCTGCCTCTTGCATGATGTCTGGCCAGCGTGGTATAATTGGTCAAATGCCCTCAAGATGGACTTAAGTGTACAAGGAACGTGTTGCCAACATTTCAGCCTCACAATTCACACTGCTGTATAATTATTATAATTCCTTAATGAACAGATGATAGCTTTGTGTGACAACTTTTAAAGCTGCCGCTGTTCGGTTTTTAAAATTTATATACCACCGGTTTCCTTTATAAACGGCCGCTTTATTGCCTTTCCCATGCTCCCGACACATTATAGCGTCAATCTGATTAGGCTATAAATAATGTATAAACGCGAGGGGTTGGAAACGGCGATATGATCTTTGCGAGCGAAAACGTAAAAAGCAGAAAGACATTTGGAGCCCAGGGTCCATTGTTAACGCTTCCTCTCCCAGACGCACGCGCGAGTGCGTCGCGGTCCCAAGCCACGCGCGTGCCGATTGTGCCGATGCCGCGCTATTTACCGCACAATGATTGCGAGCGACGTGGAGCGGTGGCGGTGGGGAGTGGTGGGTGGGACGCTGCTCTGCGTAAAAAACGCGATTCCCACGTCGTCGAGGGGGTGTTGTTTCGCTTTTACAGACCCCGGTGCCGCGGTGGGAGAGACGTTAACTACCTCGCCTGGTATACAGGAGGTCGTGGGTTCGATCCCGAATCCTGACGCCTGCTGTATATTTTGTAGTTTGCATTTCGCTTTCCCCGTGGCTGCGTAGATTTTTTCTCCGAGTCCTCCGTTTTTTTCCCCTCCACGTTTGTAAACATTCATTTAGAGCATTTGGCTGCTATAAGTGGTCACTATAAGCCACTTTGTTCAGGTATCGTCTGTGTATGTCAGTTGAACTTTACACCGTACATCGCCAACCGTGCTAATCGCAGCTGCCGGGAAGGACAAACTAAACACAAAATGCAGCTCCAAAGAAATACGTTTTCAGTCTGCGGCCAGGTCGCTTCTGAAAAATAGATATAGAGCTCAGTGGGCCTCACCTGGTAAACAAAACAGTTTCGGTTTAGTTTAAGTCAAGGTGCAGCCCTGCGATTACTTGCTGCCGAAAATGCCTACATCAGCGGATACCCTCGAGAGCTCTTCTCTTCCACGCTGGCCGCGTTGTCTGGCCACTTAACCCTCACCGCCCGCGACCCGCCGCTCGACCGACCGCCGTGAAACCATTTATAGCTGCTGGGTCAACGGAAGTGGGGGAGGCGGGGGGGGGCATTTAAGAAAAGTGAACCATTGTTGAATGTGAAAATCGCACCATACGAACACTTCGGTATTGTAACCGGTCGAGAGTTACGACCAAGTGCCCGGCAAAAAGGAAGGAACACGCCCGAGAGGAAATGCGCCGGTGGAGTGAGTGATGAAATCAGCTGCTGTGCAGGACTGGGAGAGATGAGGGCGGCTTGGGGAGGGCGTTGATCCAGCAGCAGATAGAACATGACTGGTAATGTAGGCTACAAGTGATAGCTGGCTGGGTGTCCCCAGTGGGAAAGCCACTCAGCTCACAATCAAATGTTGACCTTGTTAACGATAGAGTCTTGTAGATATTCACTTTTTTCAGGACGGCATTTACATTTTCAGTTGCCATTACCCGGCCGGGGTGGAGATTCAATCTGCCAAACTCTAACCCCAAGGACCCTGAACACTATGCTCCTGAGCTACACACTACAGTATCTCATCGTTAAGCGTGCGTGTATATGTACATAAGCAGTGCACAGCATGCTTAAGTTCCCATTGGGAGTACGTTTAATCTCGGCCGGATTTTTCCACTTTGCGAGCGGTTAATTGGGCTCCATAGAGCCGCGAGTTTTTAGCGAGCACGGCCCGCTTCGGAAACGTGAAAAGCGGCGCAGGGGCTCGCAAGCGACAGTGGTTGATGGTTCCATTAGAGTCGGCATTAATCGCTGCGAGCCGGGGCGCAAAGGAGGGCCGCGATTGCGATGAATCAAGCCGAGTCGACGTGCTCGCCGGATCGCATAGCGAGCGGCGTGCGGGTTTCCGTGATTAACGCGAGTCGCGTCTCCTGTGCCCGCCCCCACACCCCCCCCGCCGCCTTGCGCTCGCTCTCGCAGGCGATCCGCGACACGATAGAGAAGCACGAGAAGAACAGCGAGAGCTTCAAGGCGTTCAACAGCTCCTTCACGCGCGATGACGACGGAGAGTTCTCGGTGAGCCCCCCGCCAAACCTCATTAACGCGGCCCTGTCCTCGGTCGTCGGCTGTTCGGCCTGCAGAGGACGGATGGTGAATGGTGCTCGCGCGGCGGCAGCATCAATGGTGGTGGTGGCGGTTGAAGCGGTGGTAGCGGTAGTGACGGTGGTGGCGGTGATGGTGGTGGTGGTGGTGTTAGTGGTGGCGGTGGCGGTGGTGGTGGTGGCGGTGGTGGCGGTGATGATGGTGGCGGTGGTGGCGGGGGTGGCGGTGATGGTGGTGCCGGCGGTGGTGACGGTGGCAGTAGTGATGGCAGTAGCGGTGGTGATGGTGGCGGTGGTGTTGGTAGTGGTGGTGGCAGTGGTGGCGGTGGTGGTGACGGTAGTGGTGGTGGCGGTGGTGTTGGCAGTGAACGGGTGCACCACATTGATGAGATGTTAACTCCCTCACCTGGTATGCAGGAGGTCGTGAGTTCTATCCCAACCCTGACGATGCCTGTATATTTGGAGTTATACAGGCCCTCTATTTTTTCAACCTCCTCATTTAGAATCAACGTGTGTTTAGAGTACTTGACTGCCTTAAAATTCCACATGATGAGCCAACTTCTTTGGCCAGGTCACTTCTAAAATAGAGCTACACAGCTCAGTGGGCCTTACCTGACAAAATAAACAAAAAAATCAGTTTGGAACGCAGTGCCCAGGGCCTCAGATTTTAGACCCAAACCTCTACTTTTGGACTGGTTTATGACATTCAGTGTAACCGGCATAGTCAGGTGAGCGTAAACCAATGTTGGCGAACTGCCAGTAGTTTAAATTTCGATTTAAAGCTTTCGTGACTGCAGGGATTCATCTTCTTGGTTCTTTCGGTAAAGTCACGTAGAATGGAAATAATAAAATAATAAAAATGAAACATAATAAAATAATTTTTTTACCACCACCGCCGGCACCACATAATAAAATAATTTTTTTATTATGTTTTATTTTTATTACTTTATTATTTCTATTCTACGTGACTACCGAAAGAACTAAAATAATGCAAATAAAACATAATAAAAACTTTACTGAAAGAACCAAGAAGATGCCAGAAGTTTGTAGGTTAGATGATCATGAACTTGATTGTGTATAGAAGGCTAGCTTTGCCATATTATGAACACCTTTTTTTCTCAGTAAAATGTGTCAAGACAGTTTGGGGCACAGATCCGAGGTGTGTATCTATCTATCTATAAGATACGGTATTATATAAGTTTTTGTTTTTATTAATACCTCCAGGAAGTTCAGATAATCTACTTGTCCCATTGTCCACAAAGCATTGAACGACGATCGTAAAACTCCCATCCGAACGCGACTCAGTGTTAAACCAGGAGGACATCCTGAAGTCAAGATTCCCACAATCTAGAATGTTACGATTGTTATTATCCCAAGCTGAGAAAACATATTTTTACAGCGTAGCCACTAAACTCGTTGTGCTGCTCAAACGTTAATTCACAGCTCAGAATCGGAATACTTTTTTTCAAAATCAGTTTTTTTTTATTTTTACTGGAGGAATCCGGTGAGCTTTTAAGCTCCCTTTCTCAGATGACCAGTAGAGGCGGGTAAACACGTTACAACCACAACCAGTACAATAACATGATAGCAAATTTCGATTTAAAGCTTTCGTGACTGCAGGGATTCATCTTCTTGGTTCTTTCGGTAAAGTCACGTAGAAGGGAAGTAATAAAATAATAAAAATACAACAATAAAATAATTCTCACGACATTCAGACGCTGTCTTCCCGACAGACCTGTTCTTCACCTGAGGACGGCTGCTTGCGTTGTGGCCGAAACGTCGTGAGAATTATTTAATTATGTTTTATTTTTATTATTTTATTATTTCCCTTCTACGTGACTTTACCGAAAGAATCAAGAACATGATAGCAGTTCAAAGTCCAAGTAAAGTAAACAATTAACCCAAACGCATACAAATAAAACCAAACCATCCCCATCCTAAGCCCACTGAGATGATAACTTATTTTTCAGAAGCGACCTGGCCACAAATGACAGCTCAACAGAGTGGCCTATCATTTGGACATTTATAGCACCAAAAAAATAATCGATCATATTCTCAATGCGTGTTTCTCATCGCGTTGTCGCAGGCCAACGGCACGGCACGGCTGCCTTGCGTCTTGGCGACAGTTTTTTTGCGGAAGTTCGGCAGGAAAAACAAGTTGAAAGCCCCCCTTCCGTTTTGTTGTTTAGCAAATCTCTATTCTGGGCAAGCGCTTGGTGGGATTTCGTGACCTAAATTGTGACTTCAAAACAGCTGCAATCCGCTGTAAAACATTGAACCTGCTCTTACAAACAACATCACCGCTTAGATAAGCAACCCTTTGCCAATCCACCGCTGGATGAGGGCCTCGCCAGGCCATGCACCTGATGAGTTAAATGATGACGTCACCCTGCTGCTGCTGCTGCTCTATTTAAGACCGGGAGCAAGAGCAGAGCCCCTCCCCATTCTGGCGAATTGCCCGATGATGCTGGATGCAATTACCAGCGAAACGTCGTACTACTCAAAAAATTTAAAATGTTGTGGTTTCACGCTTCAACACACCGGTGCGCTAAAGCAGTGAACTATTTGTCTTTAGTCAACAAGCTTTAAATCGTAATTTAGAGCTACACAGCTCGGTGGGCCTTACCTGGGGATATAAAACTAATAATGTTTAGTTCATAGTTTAGATTGAATGTTGCTGCACTGCGATATAACAGAGCCTTTGGGGTTCACTCCACTTGTTGCAGCAGTTTGCGCACCTTGTTGACGTCCGGCGAATGCGGCGTTAGTCGGACCCACCAGGATGCCCCGGGCTAAACTCTGAGCCATACAGCTGCCTAAATAATGGCCTCGGCAGAAGGTCACAAAGCAACCTCCTTCCCTTTTCTTTCAAGACGTGCTCGCAAATGTTTGTTTGTTTTTCGTATATTAATATATAAAATACTTTTTATTTTATTTTAAAACCGCTTGCGCGCATGTTCGCAAGCTGTCCCTAATGCACCTTTGTATTGTCCTTGTTGGGAACACATCCTGTTACAGACTTTCCTTCGCTCGCTCGAATCCCTAAAGTGGAAACTGTGACTCGTGGCGTGTGCATATGAAGGCAAGACACGTGTTAAGCGGGGAGGGGGGGGGTCCTTGTGCCTGTCGTTTAATGCTTCCGCCTTCATATTTTACCAGCCAGCCACTCGTTCAAAGATATATTCGCTCACCGAGAATGGCGCCAGATATCGAGCGCGAAGACGGTGCTGCGGGAGTATTTTTGTTTGAACGCAGCTCGCCATAATCCTCCTCTCTGTGCATCCCCGCAGTGGAATTTGTCGGATCGAGGGTGGGCGAGAGGATTCGTGTCGTGCGGGAGGTTTTGTGGGGGGTGATATTGCGATACGTTGAGCTGTGCTGCCATCTGCAGAGTGCCTTTGTAGCTGCACCGTCCTCGGCTGTTATTGGAATCGCTCAAGGCCCAAGTCACGGCTCATTTGCATGTAGGCAGTCCCCGCTTTTGCTGCACAAAGCGTTGCTGAACACCGCATCGTAAATCGAATCGTCGTGAAATCGGACCCTGTTTTCCCAAAGTAGAAACACATTACCTGTCACCCCAAATTCTTGTACAGGGAATTTTAGTTTTCAGGTCCATACGGCGTACAGCCGTTTCAATGCGGGCAATTTGTTTTGCTTATTTGTTTGTGTTTCTCTCTTGTGATGGGACTTTGTAGGATGAACGTTGAGATTTATAAGGGCACGGGGTGACCAATAAGGTTTGAATTCGTCTGTAACAAGAAGGGCACTGATAAGAGGTTGACAGGTATGGTCAAACATCACTTGCCGATGTGTTTTTTTCCTTCTATCTGTCATATTTAACAGGGGTTTTATAGGTAAGCATCCCGTAAAAAAAAAAACTCAGAAAAACAAAAGCTCCGCACCAAGTCGCTTCAGAAACCAGACCCAACTTTGTTCAGATGTGTTCTGAGTCGTGTCGGACGATGCGTCGTAAATTGGCAACATGCAGTGCAAACGAACTTCAACAAACATGCATGCATGCACCTCTGTGATTGAACATCTGAATAAGTATTTTTCTTATGATCCACCTCCTGGATTGAATATCTAAACGTTTCTCTTATCGTCCACCTCTCTGAACGAACATCTGACTATCCCCCTTCCGATGCGGGAATCGAATGCCTCTCCTCCCCCGCGCGTGAAAGCCCACGCCGTTTCTGACCGCCCGCCCCCCCCCCACTTCCCGCATGTCTCCACCTGCAGGCCACGGAGCTGGGGCGACGGGCGCCTCACCTTGTGCGCGAGCGCAGCGTGTCCGAGTGCATGAGCTGCTCGGAGCCCTTCAACGCCCTCACGCGCAGGAAGCACCACTGCCGTGCCTGCGGCCACGTGAGTACAGCAGAAGCTATTTTCGACCCGCGAGCGGTACGTTCTGGGGAAGGCTCGCGAATGCAGAAGCTTTGCTCAACGTTCCAGGCATGAGTGAACATAATCGGGATGGGGGGAGGATGGTAAATGTAAAATAACAATGACTACAATAAATTCATAATAAGTTATGAGGAGGTTCAATCTTGATTTGAAGCTTTCGTGACTGCAGGAATCTATACTCTTTGGTTCTTTCGGTAAAGTCACGTAGTGGCGGTTAAATTTCGATTTAAAGCTTTTGTGACTGCAGGGATTCATCTTCTTGGTTCTTTCGGTAAAGTCACGTAGAAGGGAAGTAATAAAATAATACAAATTATAAAATAATTCTCACGACGTTTCGGCCACAACGCAAGCAGCCGTCCTCAGGTGAAGAATGATCATTAACTGGTATGTGTCTATACCAGAACCAAGAAGATAAAGTCACGTAGTTAGAAATAAAATAAAACAAATCACGACGTTTCGACCGCTTGTGTTGCGATCGAAACGTCGCGATTTGTACGTGACTTTACCGAAAGAAACAAAGAGTAAGTTACGAGTAAAACAACATAGTTTTGTATCTATTACATTTGATGATGATGATGATGATGATGATGATTTGCTCTGCCGCGCAGGTCGTGTGCGGCAAGTGCTCCGAGTACAAGGCGCAGCTGGAGTACGAGGGCGGCAAGCTGGGCCGCGTGTGCCACGACTGCTACGGGGTCCTGAGGCCTCAGCAGCAGCAGCAGCAGCAGCAGCAGGAGACGGAGGAGCTGCCTGATGACGTGCGACGAGCCCGAGTCGCCGCCGTCACCGAGGTGCGTGGAGAGAGCCGGCGCTCCCTCCTCCGCTCGCCGCGGTTTATTTTTCGGGCCGTGGTGCGAGCCGAGTTTTTTTTTCTCTCGAGACTCAAGAGTCGTCGGCTGTTTTCATTTGGGTCGGAAGAGACGGTGGCCTCCTCGCAGTTCCACCCGTCACGTGTCTTGCTGGCACCTTAACGCACAACTCATGCCGTCGTCTGGGAAGAATGGACGTCGGTAATTCGAAGCCAGATATGATCACGAGACCTAAATGTCAAAAAAAAAAGTTTTTTTTAAGGGCCAGAAACGAACCCACCCCCTTCGCGTGCCGTGCCGGCCTTCGTTAGAACTCGCTAACAGCACTCGACCCAACAGTCTTGTTAAGGCCATCCTGGCGGGGGGGATCTTTGTCTTTGTAGCGGCGTGCCTCGGCGGATCCGGCGGGCAGCATTCTGTGTGGATTCCTGAGTCTGTCGGAGCGCGGAGTGAAGGCGTCGCACCGCGCCTGGTTCACCGTGCCACGCTCAGAGCCCCTCGTCCTCTACATGTACGAGACCGCAAAGGTACGGACGCACAAACACGAAGATCCCTCGCATAGCCTCAACAGAGCATCGAGGCAAGTGCCGTTAGCAAGTAGCAGCACCTGTGAAGGCCGACATGACACACGAGGGGGTGGGGGGGGCCAGCACCATGCCCGGTCGCATCTGTCTCCCCAGTGCTGATGACCACACATGCCAGGTACTGACTTTTAAGGCTGGATCGACCCAGTGGAAGCCTAGGACGGGCTCAGACAACCGCTACCGATCGTGGCCACGAGCGGGATTCGAACTCTGATCGCCGGGATATCAGCGCACTGCACTCACCGCTACACCACCGCTCCCAGATCGACGTACATACAAACACACAGACGTGCAGACCTGTGGTGGCACAAGGTGACTCCAGCACGTGGCCTACAAATGGGCATTATTCTGCCGGTAGGCGAATCATGATTACTACGTACAATTACAATTTAATAGTATTTAGGTAATTTTCTAATGAGTTTTCAAGTTTCATATATTCGGTGTAGTCCTGTGAGCCATGCGGCTCTTGAGTCGGGTGCAACCGCAACAAACAAAAACATGAACAGAGAACATCTTAAAGTGACGATGCGCAACAGAAACATCCTGGATAAACCAGAAAACCTTTCAGAAAAAAGAAACGTATTACAACGCTGTTTGCAAAATTTCCAGTGTGATGCAAGTCAAACAATAACAACCAAAAGACAATTCAGATAAAGTTATCAGGCCAACTCCGCACTTCTGCAAGAAACACGGCTTAACCGTATGTTTTCGAAATCACCAAAATAAAGCTATAAAAACAATGTAACAACAGTAATCATAGGAACTGTGATTCAAATGTAACAATAAACGATATACATAACATGTCCGATCAAACTTGCAGCCATAGTTAATGATGGCAATGGTAATAATAATAGAAAAACAGCAGCGGCATCTTCCTGTGTTTTTTTTAACACACCCCACCTTCCCACGTGCATCAACACCTCTTCCCGCGTGACCCGCAAGGACGCCAAGCCTCTGCGGACGATCCCGCTGCCGGGCTACGCCATCAGCCCCCTGGAGGCGAGCGACCCGCACGAGGCGCGCCACGCCTTCAAGATGACCCAGTCGCGGCAGACGCTCTACTTCGCCACGGACGGGGAGGAGAGCCAGCGGCGGTGGATGGGATACCTGGCCTTGGCGGCGATCGGCGAGGTGCCGTCGTGCCCCCCGTCGCCCAGCGTCATCAGCAAGCAGGGCTCCATCCCCGAAGAGGGCGCCGAACAAAACGACGAGTCCTCGACTCAGTCGGACAGCATCCTGGACACCAGTGCTTCATAGTAGAAGGCTACGCGGTCACTGCTGAGTCGCGTTATTCGTTCGCGTTGTGTCGTCGTCGTCGCCGTCAGTGTCGGTGTCGGTTTTGAGTTCTTTTTACGGACTTGTGTTGTGATACCTTGAGGGTTTCGAGGACACTTTGGTTTCTTTTTGTTGGTTGTGAAAGGAAAGATTTCTGTGGGGGGAAAAATGGGAAAGCTGATTATTTTCTTTTTTTCAAAAAACTAATTGAAAATTCGGATGTCCCAAAGGCGAATTGTGCAATAAGATGGCCTGCTTTCAAAACTGCGGCAAACCTAAGGGCTGCGTGGTCGATCCAGTGGAATATATTCAAACCGGCAGGTTAAAAACAAAATCAAAGTTGCCAATCACGAAAATGTTTGACGATGCTTAATAGTCCGGAGGTAAAAGAATATATTTTGTTTTAACATTTTTTTTTACAAATACAATTGTATATCACAAATGTAATTTATGGTAACATTTTATAAACAAACTTGAGTCAGGTCATTGTAGGATTTTACCAAATCAGGAAAGTCCCTCTTAAAGAAAAGAGATCATTTTACTTCCTGTTGAATCCATAATAAGCTAAAGTATATAATTGGATGGTTTCTGCATGCCATTGACACTGCCCATGTGCACTACAAAGCTAGGGATTCTGCACTGATAGTTTACCCTCATGCTTTGTTCCGATGACGTGGACCGGTAGCGCAGTAGTCAGCACACTGCGCTACAAACCTAGCGGACTCGAGATCAATTCCCAGCCATGGCTAACATCAGGAGTGAGTGATAATTGGACAGGTTCAGGGCCTTTCCCTCACCAATCTGTACTGACCAGGACAGTGCGGTATAGTATAACTCCTGTGACCAGCACAGTGTAGGAAGACCTTCATCTAGCAGTGTATAAACAAAACAGCTGTACACCATTCATGATCTTATCTCGTGAAATCCCCGTGTTATGCAAAACGGCCAATAGCATGCAGTCTAACTGCAGTCAAAGTGAACTAAATACGATAATAGTCTCCAGTTGGAAAGAATGCAGCCATATTTGTATGTTTTGGGCCTAAAAACTTGCCACGCAAATCACTTCCCCGAGTGGCCATTTTGAACTGTGATTGGTTCACCTTCGGTCATCTGTGTGTGCAGATGTATTTTTTGTTAAACGAGCAGAAAGGGATGGCACAAATATTTAGAGCCCCTGAGGCCTTACACACGAAAGGCTGAGGGAACGTAAAAACAAATCGATTTCGACTCGGACGAAAGTCGTAACTGCCTGTTTCTTCCCACTTCAAATTCCAGCGAAGCCCGACTTCATTTAAATGCAAACTCTTTCTATCCACAAAAGTGGCCTTAAGTAAACGGAGACTAATCAAAAGCAAGCGTTGTCCATCAGTCTCCTCGCCGAAGTTGGCCTCGTGTTCCCTCGCCTTGGAGTGGCAAGCACAGTGCTGCACGTCAAGAATGAGTGCGTTCGGTTTGCACTTGCAACTGTTCAATGGCTTGCAAAGGATTCATTTAAGGAAAGGGGGGTGGGGGCGGTGAGGGGGGGGCGTGTAAGCACTGCTATTCTTCTTAAAATTACGAAACAAGTAGTTGTAATGTTTTATAAGCTACGGTTGTGTGAGGCACAAAACAGGACATGTGTGACATCTGTCTATCATGCCATCGGGTAGAAATGTGCTCAGTCTGCAGAGGACTGATTGTAGGGGACGAGGGTTGCCACCTGTCCTGGTTTTTTCTGAACGTTCTCTTTTTGGGGTAGCCGTTCCCTGAAAATCTCTAGGTCTTACCGGCATGTCAAGAGTCCTGTCTGTTGTCAGTTTCGTAGTAATATACCACTCGGGACAATGCGTTTACATGTGGATCCCCTCTACCACTATTGTGAGATATTCTTCTTCTTTTGTCGATGTCCCTGGGGGTTTTGTCCCTCAGAGGTGGCAACCCTCCCGGGGAGCAGGAACGGACGTTCGAATAGCATTTGCTCAACACACGAGACGTTGCGTGTGCCGCCATTTTTCCTCGTGTCAAATATTAGACCGCCTGCACCCCCCCCCCCCCCCCCCAAAGTTATAATATCACGCTCACGAAACATGGCAGGATTTTTCAAACTGTGAGGTTTTTAACATGGATGATACCTTTTTTTATTAAAAAGCATGCCTGCACACCGTAGTAACGAAGACGGACGGTTGAGGCCTGCTTTTGCGAGGCCCCTATTGGTTTTTTAAGATTGCGGACGTAATTTTAGGTCAAAATGTAAAATTACAATAAAATAAAAATGCAGATGGAAGATCTCTCTTACGAAAAAAAATGACAAATTATCTAAGCCTAAGCTACATCGAACCTGTGATAATACGTTTAGGGAAAAGCAAACGAATTGTACGGCTATGTACAAACTCATTTATTTATTTTCCACCCAAAATAATTGTGGCACTCATTAAAGCCGAATTTGTGGCCTAGTAAAACGCAGCTGTTTTGACAGTGGACATTATTAACGCAAACATTATATCCATGAAGACCCCACAGTGATTTTGTTGCTGTTGCCAACACATTTGAGTTAATATGTGTAAATATCTGCATTGTACTTTTATACACAGTATAATTAGAAAATGGGTGCACTTTTGGAGGCAGAATTTGATTGCCCTTTGTATTTTTTTCGGTTTTCGCTCATAGCTTTTGTTACCAAGTGATTGTTAGTGTCAAAATATCAGGGACCACATCATTCTCAGAGCTCCCAGAAAAGGTCAGGTTATAAATAAATACAATTTCGGGACATTCCTCAGAGCAAAAAGCTTGCGTTTGGCCATTTCCAAACGGCATAAATCCCTGATCATGGAGGAAATGAGAACACATTTCCACTCCCCGATGAAACAGCTAAAGGAGGTCATTCGGACAACAGAGCACAAACATCACCCTTGGCATTTGCAGAGTCCAACTCCTGGATGTGACATTGGGAGATTGATTTCATTGTAGAATGCATTTGTACATACAGTGGTGCCATTCCTACTTCTTGTATTACCACTAGAGGCAAAATCAGAACCCTCATCCTCCTTGTGATATGGCACTGGTTTTTTACGTACTTTCCTCTCAACATTATTATATTTAAGTTTTGCATAACGTTCGTTGTATTAGTCGTGGTTGTATCGTGGACCATGCTTTACAGATATTTTTTCAATTCCGCGTCACGACACGGAGATACATTTGTCGGGGTTTTCTGATCCGCTTTTAGAAACCGGATTGAGGAAGACGTCCGATTCGTTAGGGATTGTCTTTGTTGACATTTACACCTCCTTTTGCGAACAAAGTGACCGCATTTTGTCGAGAGGTGACGTAATCTCTACTCTCTTTTTTTTAAAGAGAACGCTCAAGAAGAATTCACGAAAGTTAAACAAAAGATTCATCTTCTTGGTTCTTTCGGTAAAGTCACGTAGAATTGAAATAATAAAATAATAAAAATAAAGCATGATAAAACTCTGTCTTTTCGACAGACCTGTTTTTCACCTGAGGACGGCTGCTTGCGTTGTGGCCGAAACGTCGTAAGAATTATTTTATTATGTTTTATTTTTATTATTTTATTATTTCCATTCTACGTGACTTTACCGAAAGAACCAAGAAGATGAATCCCTGCAGTCACGAAAGCTTTAAATCGAAATTTAAACAAAAGATGGTAATACTTCTGTTTGGCTGCAGTTCTACCTGAAAGAAAAGCAGTCGTGGGTGGGTGTGTTAGTGATAATGGTCAGTGAGGTAAGCATGGAGCTCGGAAGAGCGGATTACATAAAGAACAGACAGCAGCAGTCGCCGTGATACTGGAGTGAAATGCCTTAGGAAGCAACATCTATGAAGGGTTGAAACACAATTAATTTCTTAATTACTCGATGAATGATTAACACAACAAGTTCTATACAGAAACCGAGTGCATTTTAGACCAAAAAGATAACATGAAATAAAGTGAATGCGATAGACATCATCATCATCATCAAACTCCATGGGCAGAGAGCCCATGGGTATCCACTGAAATTCTTGTCGCTAGTTTCCACTTCCCTCTGTCATGTGCCAACGTTAGACAAATACAGCAATTTGTGCTGGAAATTCCACGAAAGTTGTGAGATTGTTTAAATGAGCATTTTTGAAATTTACATTCGCTGCATTATGACCAAACATTTTCAGGATAATTGTCAATAATCATACATTATTGATTTGAGATCATTTGAAATCATCTTCACAACTTTCAATTATTTCCCATAATTATCAAATATATCGATACTACATCTTGATACGTTTTTATTTAAATGGATTTTAGTTCTAGCAGTTAATTTCCCAGTAAAACGAATTTTTACTGACTTTTCATGAAGTCGCTCCCTCGCGATACCGCTATTATTTTTCTGATGATACATTGTGAGTATTTATAGCACAAATTTGTCCTGGCTTGACCCAGGACTTGACGACTCAAAGCTTCTGACCGGTGACAGCAGCACAGTATCGCAGACACGATGCGAATATAACATGTGGAATGCTGGCCACGGAAGCCGTGAACCAATGGACAGTCTGGACACTTCCAGATTTTACGAAACAAGACGTGGACACACAGCCATTGCCAATTCCCACTGCTACCGTCACTGCAATCACCTACACGTGATTATCAACAAGACTTGAACAGGATGGTGACGAGCCGGTCACACACAGGTATTCCACTTGTTTATATCTCTAGCCAATGCAATGCATGCCAGCGGAGGACCAATGTGTTGTGATATTTTTTTTTAACTACGATGCTATTGATTGGTTGGAAATTAATTCAAACTCTGCAGAGCCTACTCCTGAATGAGTCGACGGCCAAAACAACTGTTTTGGGTCGGAGGTAATAGGCGACAGTGTTTTATGTGTATAATTTCACGTTTGAATATCGACCGGACAAACGTCTTGCCATTGTTGGCTCATGTTATAGGAGACTTCAAGCCAACATTTTTCGCGAGCCTATAGTTTGTACCGTGGCTGTGCATAGCAGCGGACCTGGGATAGTTGCGACAGTAAAATGATGGGGATCTAGGGCGAGGCAGCGCTGTGCGTGGCGAATTATCGCTGAGGTAGTCCAGGGTTTTAAATGCCTTCAGGAAATATTCCGTCCGCGCCTGTCGTTTATGTCGATGTCAAAGACCTCCCCCCCCCCCCACGTCTTAATGCGCTGATATTTTGCGTGTGACTATGAAGTTTGAGAGGTCAATGTTAAGATCAAGTTTTAGGATTTAAAAAAACATCCCCTTGACCACCCCTTGTACATATGGCGACATCGGTCACTTTCACGGCGTTGCTCCGTTAACAATGTGGGCAAAATTGATTGTGTCTGTGCGATGAGTATGCCTACTCTTTAAAAAACAAAAAAACATGTGCCCCATTCCCAACAAAGTGTGCGTGTACATATGTGTGCGAGTGTTACACGTCTCAAATCACGGTCTGTATTATATACACACACACACCACACACCCGCACACGCTTATCTTTATAACTTTATTATTTGTTCGATATAATCCGTCTCTTTAATTTATCTCCGCGGTTCCATCATGCTGTACATTGATGACAGGACTAGGTACGCTTTTTTCTCTCTCTCTCTCATTCGTTGGTGGCTGGCCACTACAGGCGTCGCAGATGTTGCTCGAAACCTCGTGGCTCACGTGACGTGGAGTGAAGAGGGGCAGCTCGTGTTTTGTTTGCTGCATTGAGAGGGGGGTGGAGGTAAGAAAGGGCAGTGCCGTAGTTTTCTTTTGCGCAACAATTTACGACAAAGCTCCTCCTGCTATCCCCGCTCAGATGTGTATGCTGCATATGTTCCGAATTAAATTTTTGTTGTTGTTGTAACGCATTACTGTACTCGTAGTATTATTATTATTATTATCGTCGTCGTCATTGTTGTTATCATGAATATTATTTCATCTCTGGCCGTTGCAAAAAATAATTGTGTTCGCATTATTATTTTTTGTTTGGTGCTGTTCAAAAAAAAGAACTTTTACAATAAAGATAACTGGATGGAATATTTTAATCGATCGTCTACTTGATTTTGTTCATAGGTAAACTACCATCTCTTGCTCGCGCCACCCACTGATCACGTTTGAACACAGGCTGCCCATAATTAATGGAACAATCTAAATACAGGGTGTTTAAAAAGAATTGACGCAATTTCAAAGCAGTATATTTCACGATGGCAACATGTTACAATTACATAAAAAGTTACAAGAGGTTTCATGAGTTATCAAGTTTTACTAACCATTTTATAAATGCTCTATGTGCCCTCCACCTGCTGTACGGACAACATCGAGACGATAGTTGAATTCATCCCAAACGCCTCTCAAAGTGTCTTCTTCCACTGAAGTCACCGCTGCCGTGATTCTGTTTTTGAGGTCATCCAGATTAGTCGCTAATGGTGGCACAAAAACACATTCTTTGACGTATCACACAAGAAAAAGTCGCAGGGTGAGATGTCTGGGGTGATCTTGATGGCCAAGAGTGTAGCGCCAAGTCTTGGGGTCCCGTGCGACCTATCCAACGTTGAGGCGGTTTGTCTAGCGAATGACTGAGGCTAGGGGCTGTTTGTGCGCTGGGAGAGGCATCTTGCGGTAATCATTTGAAACTCTATGCCCCGCCCTCTCTATACCCCGCCCTCTCTATGCCCCGCCCTTTCAAGTGGTAAGAGTTTCATTCATGGGCGGTTCGTGGTTGCAGAGATATAGCGATTTCAAATCGGGTTCCTAATTTTAAAACACCCTGTATTTTGTTGCATTATTTTGACATTGTCTACACCAGTGGCTCTTAACCTGGGGTGCACGCTGCACCTCCTGGCGATGCCAGATGCCCCTTCTGGGAGTGCGAGACATGGGCAGATATTTTTCCAAGGTAAATCATCAAAACTTTCTTAAACAGGGGCACGTAAGTACAATTACTTTGTTTCATCAAACCCTATGTAATTATTAACATTATACATTTTTACGATTGAGAACCAAAGGGGTGCAAGGCTGCAGTAATGGTTAAGAACCACTGCTCTATATTATCATCATCCACTGCTGGGTGAAGGGTTCCACAAGCTGTCGCCATCTCTCCGTCAGAAGGCCCTAAAGGAGAACTTCTTGAGACGGTTGCTGGTCTCATATCCCACACTGGCCAGACGTCTTGCAAGACGTGGTCCAGGGTCTATGCATGTTGCACGTGTTGGGCGCGAGATGTTAACTCCCTCGCCTGGTATACAGGAGGCCGTACACGTGCACCCGTGCTCTCTTTTAGCCCCGCCCCCCCCTCCCGATACGTTTCCATTCATTGGCTACCACATTCTGATAAGCTCCCCCCCCCTCTCCTCCCCCTTAACTTGTATTTAAGAACTTGCATCTTGGAATCCCTGCCTCACTTGATGCAGCAAATCTGGCTGTGACGGTCCCACCTGGTGACGGAGACTTGTGTTGCCTCCGAAATGTCGTGATTTTTATTATTTTATTTTTTATTAATTTTTATTTTATTTTTTACCTGCGTGACTTTACCGAAATAACTAAGAGTAGGAGGCCGTGGGTTCGATTTGGACCCTGATGCCTGCTGAATATTTCGAGTTTGCTTGCTTCTCTCTCCCCACGGTCGAGTGGATGTATTTTTCTCTGGGTCCTCCGGTTCTTCCCCTCCACATTTAGAATAGACGTGCATTGCATTTAGAGTATTTGGCTACTATAAATGTCCACAAAGATAAACCACTTCGTTGAGCAATCATTTGTGGCCATGTCGCTTCTGAAAAAGAGCTATATAGCTCAGTGGGCCTTACCTGGTTAAATAAAAAAAGTATATATATATTTTGTTCAGTGTATGTATGTTGAACCGTTCACACCGTGTCTTGCCGATCGGTTTTTATATCTTGCGTTAAGCGACGCAGTAGATGGTCACGTTTACAGGAGAGTGTATTTATTCGTGACAACGCATTGGTAACATTGTGACCAATTAGAGACCCTCACGGTGTGGCTTAAGGAGTTTCACGACTGAATTTAACACCAGCATGCGACGGCGTTTCCTCTCAAGCTGCTTTGAGCTTCTCCAGGTATGCATGCGGAAATCGAGTGGCTGTGGTGTGCACCTCTATACCCCGAGGTGGACAGAGGCGGAGGGATTTAGGAAACGTCGACAAGACTTGTGACAGAATTGCAGCCAAAGGATGGAACGCGTTCAAGAAGATGACCACCACAGAAACGGGGTGATGAAACTCGCCCATGTGCAGCGGTGAGATGGGTTATGGCAGCACAGGACCATGAGTGCGTAGTGGACTACATGAGGAAGCCTTCATACAGCAGTGGATAGATCACGGCTGTTGATGTTGACGGAAAATTAGGCGTTGTATGTGCAGAAGAGTGGTAGAAGGACATTAAAAATAACTGATAAAATCTATCCTCCCTCCATGAGCCCGTGAAGTGCACATTATGCTCCACGTAGTCACGTTTAGGTGCTTTATAAACATTTAGCTGCTTTATAAACATGCATTGATTGTTGTTTTCTACTAGATTTGAAGCTTTCGTGACTGCAATGATTCATACTCATAGGTTTTTTCGGTAAAGTCACGTAGGGAAAAATAAATAAATAATAAATAATTAAACCTAATAGAAATAAAATAATCTTTTTTATTTCTATTATTCTTTTTTATTTTTAATATTTTTTTATTTTTATCTACATGACTTTACCGAAAAAACCTAAGAGTATGTTGTTTTGTTGTTCAAGCAATTATGCAGCATGCAACTGGCTTAATGTCTTACTCAATATGTTGTGGAACGCTCCTGACTACACGGTAAGCCTTATCCATAATATACCCACGTTATTTTGTACCCTATACTCCTACAATGCTATGAAAAATGTTTATCAATGTTACAGGCAAAATAAGGCGAGAGAAAGAGAGAGATGTGGCATGCTCAAATATTTTCCTGGAATGGCGTACCCGGACTATTCCAGCTAAAACTAAGCAACGAAGCAACCTCATCTAACCGGACCAGACCCAAAGGCCTGCAAGCGAGCTGTCGTCTCCAAAACATTGCCCCAGGCTGGGTCCACCCATTGTCATCCCCCTGATGCGCACGAAAACAATGTTCCAATGTCAACCTAATCCTGGGCGCACACACAACGCAGCAATGTTGACGTTCGAGGTCGCAGAGCGAATCCATTTGGAAACTGAATTTGTTTGTTTTGCAAGGGGCGAGGTGTCTTTACACTCGGCGAGCAAAACATTTATTGATGCCATCCGGTACCGATTGTACCTGTTGTAGTTTATTTTTTCTTTCCCATCCCCCACACCGTGTGCCTTTCAGAGTCAACAGAGGGCTGGCGGGGGGGGTCTGTAAGCGCGTTGCGCAGGCCGAGCGAGCGAAACGCAGAGTTGGACAGCAGGCACCAGTTTTATGTTGGGGCAACGGAGAATGTTGTTTTGATTCCGACGTCACGTGTGTGTGTGTACGGTGTGTGCGATGTGTGCGCGTGTCAGCCAGTGACGGAGGAAACTTATATATGTCATGCACCAGGCCCTTTTTGCGCTTTTAGTATCAGGTCGAGTAACACACAAAACATCAATTGACGCACACGAGCGTTTGAACGCAGGCCACACAGAGCTGAAGGCAGCGATGGGAATTGTTTGGTGCGCGCAGCATTTTGATAGAACTCGCATCGCGATCGTCAATCGGCCATGGTCAATCCACTGCTGGATAAAGGGTCACCATCCCTCCGCTCTGTGATGTAATACTCCACCTGCACACGTGGGTAGTTCATCAGTGTCCATCTCACTCGTGGATGTCCTTTGAATTCGGTTCTATTACCTGGCCGTGTCCGTCACTATTCATGGCCATTAGGCAAAGTTTCTTAGATCAATGTGTCCTGTTTATATATATATATCGTTTATATATCACAGTCTGAAATATACAAGTATGTGTGTTTTTAGAAAGCAGCGTGCCAATGTGCCTGAATAAACACAAAAGTACTCAAAGGGGGCATGTGGGTAAATAAATGCAGGACACACTGCAGCAACAGTAAAATAAATTATGTTTTTATTAATTAGCACAAAATGATAATACCGAAATCATACGTACGTACATACATACAAAACAGACATACAGAAAACGTGTAACGAATTCGCAAACTCAACGGTAACATTTAAGTATCGGGAGTTTTCTGGAGATACATATGTATTGTATACAGCCATCAAGATAAAAAAACACGGTGCGATCGAACACCGTCTGGGGATTATAATTATTCGACAACAGTGGCTCGGATGGCATATCAAACTATGATGGCCACAGCACTTTGCTGCCAGAGGTTTTGCTGCTACTGCTGCTGTGGTAACATCATCAACAGCAGCTGTTTATGGCTTTGGACAAGTGCAGGAAAACAGCAATTTGAGATGTGAGACGCGTATTGCTGGATGTTTTTTTTTATTAACACTCTTGCGGTAAAAGTGCGTGACTTGCGTCATGCGATGGAGCCTGCGATAAGAAAGAAGGCACAAATCGGTGAGACATTTCGCCAGAGTATATAAATGCCAAGGCCACCAACGCTCCCCGAAGAACATCAGCTTGGGTGATACCGCTTTTTTTCCAGCCCGCCAAGTCAAGATTTGGTGAGCCTGCCTGCCTTGCCCGAATCTTTGTCTGTGTTCGTTCGTAATGATAATTATCAGATTAATTATAATGTCGTGTCTAAATGCACGGCGATATCAATTACGAGAGGCATTCATTGAAACGTACATTTGCTCAAGGTTTAGTATGTTGCTATACCACGAGATTTCATTAATGTGATAAGTAATAAAGAAAATGCTTTTATATATGATGTACAACCAATTAATGAAATAAACAACAACTGTTCTGTGTGTGTGTGCACATGTCACATCAGCCTTCAAGAGGCCCAAAAGGCCAAAACGTGGCTAGCGGCCAGAAACAAACAGAAAGGTCGTTATTGACATGAGTTAATGTTTCTTGAATTGAGTAAAGATTGTAAGAATTTGGCAAATGCGACAATGAAAGAAAATTTCATAGC